TTGGCCGCACACCCCAAATCCTCCCAAAAGTCCCTGCAAAATCCCCCTTACTCCTACACCAAAGCAGCAAGAACCAACACGCCACAAAACTAACGCTCCACAACTGAACGAATGCCCCAACAAGAGATAAACCGACCCCGACCCCGACGACCCAAACCACACTTTGCGAACCCTGAACTTGAGTGGAACTCTGACTTTCTTGATTGCTGGTCTGTGCCAGCATTGCATGAAACGACGTCCATTCACCCTCATTCAGCCCGGTAACAATAGTCTCAACCTCAGCCTGGGACCATCCCTGAAGCGCTATACTAACCTCGTCGTCAGCATAGGTCCCTATTAGCACTTCATGCCCAGCTCGGAAGTTCACTCCTAAAGGTTGTGGCTCGTCTGCCTGGGCAAGTCTGGCCTCGGCATCATGAATAACCCATACTTCTTCATCGACAGCAGCATCTCCGCTAGACACAGAAAATATCGACGGCTCAGTTGTCGAATCTCCGCTTTCGCTTTCAGAAGAAGACCACCCTTCCCCAAGGAAAAATTGACCTTCTACAGGAACCCGGGGACTTACAGCTCTATGGGGCCTATCATCTGGAGTAGGGTCATCTTCTAAGTCAAGGAGATTCAGCACGGAAATGGATGGAGACTGCGCAGTGACAATCTCTTCGGACTCAGGCTGGCCGTTCAACGGCGCGTGAAGGAATGCCGCCCGTACGTCGGCGCTCGAAGCTGCCAAACCCCGGTAAGCGGCAAGGCTTAATGCCGTTCTTACAGTCAAGCTTTCAACACCACTCGGAGGAACCTGCAGACTGCGACTGCCCCCCCCAATCTGCACATCGAGACTTGGAGGAACCTGCTGACTGCTACTGCTCCCCCCAATCTGCACACCGAGACTTGGAGGAACCTGCTGACTGCTACTGCTCCCCCCAATCTGCACATCGGGACTTGGAGGAACCTGCTGACTGCTATTGCTCCCCCCAATCTGCACATCGGGACTTGGAGGAACCTGCTGACTGCTATTGCTCCCCCCAATCTGCACATCGGGAGTTGGAGGAACCTGCTGACTGCTGCGCTCCCGTTCCTGAAGTTTGCGCTGCGCCTCCAGCAATTCAGTTTCAGAGAACTGTTCAGACCCATCACCTTCAGAACCAGCCCTACTTTCAACTTCAGAAGCCAGGGAAACCTCATTTCCAACCCCGAAGTCCTGTTGAGCCTCGGCAGCAAACTCCAAACCCCCAAGACTGACAGCATCGCCTACTAATTCCCGCAACTGTTCCCCCCGCCAAAAGCCTCTGAAACCTAAACCAAGGAACCACTGAGCCCAAGCAAGCAAAACCAAACCCACCAAAACTCCGAAGAACCAAAGAATCCATTCAATCCTTTCTTCAACTCGCAATGCCGGTTGAGCTCGGACACCAGACAACACAGCAACCAATGCAAGACCCGCTAAGGTCCGGGGAGAGACAGATCCCTGGGATCCGAAGCTGGAAGACAACCTGCTGACTGTACGGATCGAATCATCTGCCCCAGCTGGCGAAAGTCTCATTCGCATATTCATTAGTTCCGCAAGCTGAAGAATCCTAGCTCGAGACAGTGGTTTCGTAGCTATATCTGCGAGCTGAATCGATCCTGGAACATAGGTGACTACTAGAGATCCCGCATCTATACGTTCACGCCCAGCTGCAGCTCTCATGCGAAGATGTCGATTACGCCACCCGAGACTTCCAACAGCAAACGACCTTACCGCTGCCTGGTTATCACACAAGGCAGAGACCGTGATGTCGGACTCGATCATTTCCTCAATGATGCCCCCAATTGATTCTGCAGCAACTATTCCGGCGGTGACTGCAACTAGCTCTGCCTCCGTAGAGGACAGAGTCACAAACGGTTGACGACAGGATTCCCAGCATAACACATTTCCTCCCCATAGGATGACCATCGCTTGGCAAGATCGCCCCCCGTTAGGGGCATGGGAAGCGTCGGTGTACAACTCCAGAGTATTTAAAGTTCGAGGAACCGGAGCGTCAAGCCAGGAATTGTCGCTTGGCTTCTGGTATTCCAGCCACAGGTCCGCCGTACCATACAAGTAGCGCAGGATTTGATGCCCGCTCTCAATCACAATGCTTGGCGCCTTCACAGCATATTGCCCAAGTTTACTGACAGCAAAAGCAATATCGGGTCTGGTTTTCGACGAAGCCCAAAGCAAAGCACCTGTCAGGGCTTGCGCCTTCCGGACAGTCTCCAACTGCACCTGTTGCTCATTTTCCGGATCAGTCCAATTACTCAAGGGCGCACTTGCACTGCTTGTGACGTCGTATCTTGCAAAAAGCTCCTGCAAATAGGAAACCTGCGATATGCGATACCCTCCTCGTTGTAGGGCCTGGATTTCCAACCCACAGAACTTAGTGGCAGCCTCCTCCCGAATCCACTCGGGTTCCGAAAGCTTCCACAGCTTCTGTATTTCATCGAAAAGGGCACTAAGGATCACCGATGAAGCGAAACCCAAAAGATCGTCAACGTAAATGATCAAGATACCATGCCAACGCTCAGTGTCATCCTCGGCAATCTCGCTTTTAGTGATGAACCAAAGCGAATCATCACTGACACCCTGCTGCAAGGCATACCATGCACCGTCACACTGAAAGGTCAGCACCCGCAATGACTTATCTCGGAACCGGGCCCAAGCCAAGGGAGCTTGTCGTAACCCATACAGTGCTTTACGCACGCGCCATCGATGATTCGGGGAAAGAATTTTCATGTCTACAAGAATAGATGGAGGCCTGACAATGATAATTTCTTCGGACTCAAGCTCGCCGTCCAACGGCGCGTGAAGGAAGGCCGTCCTTATGTCGGCGCTCAAAGCTGCCCAACCACGGTAAGCAGCAAAACCTAATGCCGTTCTGACAGTCAAGCTTTCAACGCCACTCGCATAAAGGTTGTTGGAATCAGGAGAGCCAGTGGGGATGTAGTTCCCACACGCGACACACCTGAATCGGCGTTTCCCAACACCAGCCTTCCTGGTTAGGACTGCCTTTCCTGGAACCTGGGTTACCCTTTTTCCTTCTTGAATCAACCGCTCAATGTCCGACACGACAATGCGCTCAACAGCCTCATTCGTTTGTTCCAAAGAGACAACTTCCTCAGTAGCCGAAGGTATCCATAGCACCAATTCACCCTTTGCCTCAGCTAAGCTTACTGTCCTCGTTTGGAGAAAAGCTTCGGCAGGGCTGGTTTGGTCTTCCGGGTTCAGAGGAACATCCTGATTCAAAGCCTTTAACATACTCCCAGAATTCCTGACAAAGTCATCCCACAGAAGTCCCTCATACCACTCGCGCTGGCATTCAACCGACTTCAAGGTCCGAATCAATTCGTAGCCTACATCATCATTTCCAAAACAGCTAAGCTCCTTCACAAGGGCTTTACACGCCAAAGCTGAGGACAGGTGATTTCTTAAAACGTGCTCACGCCAACCAGGCTTCAACACTTCACAGGGAAACTCAACTTCCCAAAGCCCCTCAGAGGTCAAGTCCTCATCACCCTCAGCATTAAACTTTGAAATCGAAGCACGCTCTGCAGCGAAAAGGTGATCCAACCCTTTAGAATCGAACCCCAAGCTCTCAAGCTCACGAGCGTATTCGTTCAGAATCTTCCATATACCCCGAGGAGCATAGGCAGCAATCACCCACCTATCCTTGCCACACCAAGGTTCAGCGCAATGCCACAATTGACCACTAAAGGTGCACGGGTTATCATGAATATCCCTGACAAAACCAGCCCTTAAGTCACCCCCCGGCAACTGTCTTAAAACAGGACCCTGGCCATCGGAACTTTCAACCCACAAGCCACCTCCTTGAAACTCCCCAAGAGCAATCACCCAAACCGGTACCACTCTTTCATTTCTAGCATCCTGGTGCAAAGGGGTAGAGGTGTTACGAGTAAGGTACAGGGTAGTGTAAGGATGTTCGCAACCCTGAGCTCGAACAAACTTGTTCAAGTAACGCACAAGATCCCCATGATCCTTGGCGAACCTCGACACGCCTTGAAAACCCCCCTGATTGTACAACCCCATCACAGCACACCTACCTTTTCCACCCAATACCCTTCGATTTGGAGGAGGAAGCTTGTCAGCACACCTTCTAAGCACCTCTAATGCCTCAACCGTGCTGTAGTCACCAGTCTCAAGCTTATTTCCCAGCCAAACACCAGAATCTCCAAAGAGAAGCTTCACGGTCGTACCATCAACCTGGAGTTCTTGAAACCCTTCCTCATCCGTAGTTACACCAAGATCCCCATCTGAAGCCTCTTCGGAAAGACTGGAAGACCCTGATTCAAGCCCGGTCTCAAACTTCGGCCCCTCAGAACTTTCGAAATCTCTCAAACACCCAACGCACTCCCCCCCAGGCGCAAACCTGGCAACAGAAGAGCGGCCGGTTGGCCATCTGGCGCTCTTAGCAGCCACAGCCCGAACAGCAAAACCCGGCGGGGTTTTGGTAGTCAAACGAAACTTGGGTTTCGGGACTGTCAAAGGATCAACAGGGTAGACAGTGTTGGTTAGCAAAACACGCTGCTCGGACCCATCCTGGATTAACACCAGGTGCCCACCAGCACAATCAGTTGCAACCCCCAGGTACTTGCCCGGAACAGTTCGTGTCTCCCAATGCTTCTTATGACCCGACTTCAAACGCTTTCGCGCATGCAACCATACCCCAAACGGTAAAAGGACAGCCTGTCCCACACCCAAAGCCTCAGCCATTTGCACAAAGTGTCTTTGCGAAGCATGAAGAATAGCAAATGGCCAAAACTCGATTGGCAGATCGGCAACGCGAAGGAGTTTCCTGGCATCTTGCTTCAACCGCTGGACACTGACCTCTGCCTTATTTCCAGCAGGATCCTCTCCTGCGGTAAATGAGGCACGAATGCCGCGTTCTCGAAGCCACTGAATCAAAGCATGGCTCCTCAGCTCTTTAGCACGGTCTGCGAAGTAGCGGTGAACAGGGTACCCAAACGACTCCAACCTGTTGACCAGAGCTTGAACCTGTCCCATGACTTCAGAGCCACGCTTGGTGCGCAACGGAATCCCAAGAAAAAGGGTTTTCGTGACGACTTTCGGCTCCTCTTCTGCCCCGTCTGCAGCGTTCCCCGGTAAATCAGGGCCAGGAGCCTTTCTTTCTGCAAACTCAGCTCCGTCTTGTAACGGATCAACCCTAGGGAACGTCTTGCCTCTTACCCTACGGAACAAGGCCTTACTAGAGAACCCTCCAGCAATCTGCTCATGTACCCCGTCCAGCCACTCAGAGCAATCCTCAGACGCCTCATCGGCTATAGGTCCTACCCCTGCAGCTTCTTGCTCACACTCAGAAGGACAATACTCAGCTAGATCATCAGGAGGACTCAAATCAGGTCGCAACTCGGGACTCAAGGGTATCGAGTACGCTGCAGCAATGAAGTACTTATAGCCACGTCCACGATCCCTGCCAGACGCAATCGGGTCAAAACTGCGACCATCCTTGAACGGTCCAGCAATGTCGACACTCAAAGAGTACAAGGTGGTGATCCGAGATCGCCAATGACTCCGCTGGCGACCTTGAGCAGCTATGCAGTCACCACACCCCCTCCTAAAAGGGATATGATCGTTGGCCCTATGCCTACGAAGACTCTCCTCTTCGGTTAGCTTCGCCAACAAAGCTCGGCGCTCACTCAGGTCCCCAACTTCAAGCCTACTACGTCGGCACTTCTCCCAAGCATTTTTCACACACCCAATCAAACCTGGAGCCCAAACCCGACTCCCATTGATCCTCGAAGACTCAGGCATTTGAATATGTTCCGGAACCCGCAGGGCATGTAGGCTCTCGAACACATCCCACGAAGAGGTCACAAGGACAGTGGAATCCCGCGCCAAATTTCCCAGACATCCCTGATCAAAAGATACCCGGTACAACCCATATGCCTCACGGAGCCCTTCCACTTCTTCAGGCCTAGTCAACCCATCAAAGGACCCCTCTAAGACAAAGAAGACAGCCCTCTCTGTCTGACCACCTTTGCATACAGGCGGACTCTCTGCAGCTCGGGGCCCCCCTTTTAGGTCACTCAACTCCGGCTCAGCCGACATCTGAAGCTTGACAGCGGCCCTCCGTAAAGCCCACAAGGCTATTTCATGAGGATCATCAAGACCCTGAGGAGGCTCTCCGGACCCTGACTCGCCCTCACCAGCAGGCTCACGCGGCTCGGTAACTTCACAAGCAGTGTTCTCAGCAGCTGCCTGCGCCACCATATACACTAAGCATAACCTGAACCATGATACCTGCTTTCTCAACGCAGCTTCCTTTTCACTGTCCGAAAGACTACTTCCCAGTTCGAAACCCTTTTCTTCGGTAGAAGCCACAATTCCTCCAAGAACACCAGACTGAGCCCACTTTAGAACCTGAAGGAAGACCGGCACAATCCCGAGATCACTACCGAAGTCCCTCCGAAGCTCTACTACTCGTCCAGGACCCTTCCACTTGTCGCCTACAGCCCCAACACGAAGAAGTACCGACCCTTGCGTATCCCGATCAACACTCCTCCTAAGCCTGCGATTCCAAGGAGCAACACCCTGGCAACCCGCAAAGGGATCTTCCGGATCAACTACCGTCCTCTCTAGAACCCAATCCGAGATCCCAGGAAACACACTCCTCAAAAGGCTCACTTGAGTAACCCGATCTAGCAACCCGGCAGCCGACTGCTTCAGTTGATCCCTTAACCACATCTTCACTTCTTTCGCGTTAAGCTGTTCCCCAGCTTCAGAGCATGTCAATCCCTTTACCGAACGAGACCCTGCCCTAAACCTTTCATACTGATCCAGAAGCCGCATCCCAAGTTCCCTAGGTACCAAAGGACATCCCTTCACCACACTCACCTCAAGCTCTCCGAGTTTGGGATGCCGTATTCTACAACCCTTCTTCCCCCAAGAGATACGGTAACCCATACTGACTAAGTACCCGGCAGGCAATATGAGCTGGCAATCAACAGGGCTAAGCAAGGTCCCATACTCGTTAACGTGCAATTCAGTGACACCTGATGCCAGATCAACCCGAATGGACTCAGCCCCACGAAGCTCCTCAGAACAAGCAAACCTTAAGGCGTTTGTGGCACCAGAGTCAATCAAGGCATACTCAAGATTGGATGCACTCACAGCGCTACAGAGCCAAGTCTCATCTATGTTCCACTCGCCAACCCTCAAAACCTTTGCGCTTGCACCTTGCAAAAGCTTGGCTGCTTCAGCAAACAAGGCTTCCTTGGCGCCCGAAGCACTAGAGGCTTCAGAATTCCTGGCACCGGCACTTCCAGAGGGTGCATCCTCAGATATACCCTTCGCTTGAGGCTGGGACTTCGGCTTAGGCTTCGCCTCTGATTTCTTAGGGCTAGGAGGACTCTTGGCACTTGGCGATCCACCCTCTGGCAGCACCTGTCTGAGCTCTGCTGGGACAATCGGACAGTCCGGCCGGTAGTGTCCGCTCTGACCACAAGCCAAGCACCTACTTTGCCTTCTAGCTTTAGCCCTATCGTGCCTGAAAGTACAGCTATCCCCAAAGCGACACCCGGTACCGTCACCAAACCTGAAACACTCAACCGTACTACCAGAACCCTTCGAGGACTTACCCTTACCTTTACCAGCGTCCGCCTCTCCAAATACCGCTGCCACAGTGGGACTCGGCGTCTGAGAAGATGCAGATGTGCTGGGAAGCTTGGGGTCTGGGGCCTTCGCAGCGGCAGCAGCAGCAGCAGCAGCTCTGGCCTTTTTATCCGGAGGAGACTCAACAGTCATGGCTAGAGACTCGCACTCAGCCTGAATGAGTTTCACTAGCTGCGTAACCCCCGTTACCGACGGGTTGTAGTCGATCGAGCTTTTATGCCTAAACACGCTAACTCGGAACGCCACCATTGGCTGAAGAGCTAGAAGAGAGCTGGTAGCAGCATCTATCCCTTTCAGAAGTAGACTGGGGTCCGGGAGGGTTGCTTGTATCTCCCGTGCCCTGATCAGATCCTGTTGCCATCGCCTCAAACCTGAAATCGCATCCTTAAATGACTTGCATGGATCAGGCTGAACAAGACGCGAAAGGAGGTACGCCCTCTCCGTGCTGCCCCCTGGTTGGTAAACGCAAAGAATCCGATACAGTATGGAAGCAGTTGTCATCCAACGGTTAGTAACTAGCTCATCCTTGAAACTCTGAGGGACACACGACAACAGCAACGATACTGCCCTACTTTCTACGCGCTGGTACTTGACGGCATCATAGTGAGCAACAACCGTGGAGGGATCGAGAGCTAGCCGTTCCAACGGATCTGCTACAAGCCAACGCTGATAGCTTGCATTAGCCGCGCCCTCAACCGAGCTGAACCAAACAGACGCTGACGGCGAAAGCCCCGCGAAAACCTGGCGTGTCTGCGCAAGCCAGTTGCCACATGTTACGGCGCTAGTGGTCAAGTCAGCAGCAGCAAGCTTAGGCAGGTCGATAATGTACTTCGCTGGTTCCTCAGGAAATGCCCCAGGAGCGCTAAAGGACGAGATCCCCTCTGCAACAGTGGGAGAAGACCCTGGAACGCCTTGACTCGGTATCCCCTTTTCCCCACGCGCAAAATCCTCAACGCCAGCCAAATATCCTGGACCCCGGGAACCCCCGGACATCACCCCACATTCAGCAGCATTTGCTCCCAAGTGCCCGGATCCATAAGCCTGAACCCCTCGAGGTGACATTGGGGGAGGCCCTGGCGGAGGTCGGATGACAGTACCACCCGGCGACAGCGGATATCCATCAGAACTGAACCCAGCCAACCCCGAAGCTCCTACGGATCTTGGTGTATGATAGCCAGACTCACCCTGACCCTCCCTTGACGCCAAAGCAAACGAAGCGAACTGTCCCAAAGTCTGAGTCCCTGATCCCCACCCTTCATCCCTTTCAACCAAAGTCCGAAGGGGTACACTGGGCGGCCTAGGGGGTGGTGACCTAATCCCAGGCATAAACGGCACCGAAGTTTCATGCCTAACCCTACAGAACTCGAAACCTTGACCCGACCCACCCCGCTCGGTGGGACTCCCAACCAAAGCTCCACAAGGCGGCGGACACATGCCAGGAGGCTGAGCTACCCTAGCAGTCTCAAACCACCCCCTTGACAATTCAGAACCTTGGAAATCGTTGCCCGGAAACGCACTCGGCATCTGTACAAGACGATTCTCTCGTGGCGCGGCCACGCAACTCTGTACATTCCCAGCGAAAGACATCGGCGAACTGACCTGAGCTTCGAGCGCTGTCACACAGGTTCCTCCACTCAGGCCGCTTGACTGAGACTCCACCGCTTCCAGTCTCTGCCGCAGAGCAGCATTCTCCTGCATCACTTGCAACATCATCTGTTCCATCCTGGAAAAACCAGAGTCAGGAATGAGCTCTCGAGCGTCTGAAGCTCCCGGTTTCTCACCAGCAAAAGTGCTCGCGGATCCATCCCTCGGATTTGCGCCCCGACCCTTGCCAGTAATTTCCCAGCCTCGCCCAGTCTCAGGTTGCACCTCAACTATGCCAGGCTTTTGCTCCTCGGCTTCACCAGACTGCTCAACAGCATGCTCGCCTGCTATCTCCACTCGGGCCAGCTTAGGAGCTCCTCCACGAGATCCATGGCCAGCTAAGCTATAGTCCGGTTCCCTGCCGCCACTCAAAAAGCTCGAATCTCCAAGAGCTGCCTCATCGTAATCGATTCCAGCACGCCTTCCGTCATCATCCAACGTCGCCGGTCTCGATCTGAGAAGCTCCACTTCTGATTTCACCTTCTCAGAATGAAAAGGACTTGCCACAAACAAGTTGGCAGGCGTCTCCGGCTCTGCCGGAACCCCGCCCTGCTCCAACATGCCCGGAGACATTTCTCCTAGACGTACAGGTGCAGGCTGTTGCTCGCTGTCCTCTTGGCCCAAGGCTGCCTGATAATCTGGCTCAGAAGCTCCAGCAGGGACCTCGATATCCCTTCCTCCAGAGCCCCTTCGCTGACGTGTAAAGGAATCCATGGCGTCACAGCACCCGCACTAAGTGCCGGACCCTAAAGAAAAGGCCTATCTTAAAGCTCACAGCCCTAGAACCTACTACGGCTGATAACCTACGTGAAATACAGAACCCTACGGGGACCAGAAAGCTTAGGCAGCCTAAGTCTGAATCCTAGACCCTCGGATCGCGCCTCGATTTTTTCGAACAAAAGACAGCCTCGGTAACGCAACAACGTCTCCACCTGAGCGGCCAGGATGCTTCACGCATTTAGGGGTTGGTTCCGTATTTGGGGGGGGGGGGGGGAATTCCCCTAGGGTTTGGGGGTTCTAGGTTTCAGGGTTTGGTCGGCTGTGTGAGCTCTTAAGCCCAACATGCGACTCTAGGGTTAGGGGTTAGGGGTTTAAGGGGTTTAGGGGTTTAGGGGTGTAGGGGTTTAGGGGTTTAGGGGTTTGGGGGTTTGGGGGTTTAGGGGTTTAGGGGTTTGGGGTTTCGGGTTTCCGGGTCCTGCCCTACAGTGTGAGATCCGAACCCCTCAGGGGCGCCAAACTAGCCATTCCCCTTTCCAAAGCCGCCCCCAAGGAAAACCTCCTAAATCTGAATAAACCCTAAACCCTAAACCCTAAACCCTAAACCCAGTGGCCAGAGTGAGTCAGAGGTTCGGCAACGACATTGTCGAGTTTGCCTCCTTGGCCAACAGCTTGGAGGTCGGCCCATGCAATCGTTCAGACGTGGGGGGGGGGGGGGGGGGGGGTTAGCCCTTTTCCCCCCAGACCCCCAAAGCCATCAACCCTAAACCCTAAAACCTAACCCTAAACCCGAAACCCGACCCTAAACCCTAAACCCCAAACAAACCACTCACGTTGGTAGGCCTCCATGAGCACTCTCATGGGCGAGTTCGAGTGGTACGTGCGCGCATCAGGCAGGAGCATTGCCCAGCGTTGTTGGTGCAGGATGACCTCTGTGTGTACGTTTTAAATATCATCATCTACTAGGACCCGTCGGGGTAAGCCCCTCTTGTAGCTCGGGGGCCATATTGGAGAAGTGGCCATGGTACACAACCCGAAACCCTAAACCCTAATCCCTTGTAGCCCTAAACCCTAAACCCTAAACCCTAAACCCTAAAGCCCAGTTAGCCCGAAGGCCTAAACCCTAAACCCAAAAGCCCTTGCAAGCTGCAGAAGCCCCAAGCAACCTGAGAGTCCTTTTGCGTAACCCCATGAACTCCCTAAGCATCGCCTGCCTCATGGAGGTGGTGGTTCCTAGTTGCAGTCATCGTTTAGGGTGTAGGGTGTAGGGTGTAGGGTTTAGGGTTTAGGGTTTAGGGTTTAGGGTTTAGGGTTTAGGGTTTAGGGTTTAGGGTTTAGGGTGGGGTTTAGGGTTTGGGGTGTAGTACCTTGAAGACCTCTTGCAAACCTGGCACCAACATGCGGAAAAAGAAGTTTCAAGCCCCAATCACTGCTGGGATTCAGGTTTCGGGCCTTTGAAGAGCATGGTAAGGACAGTATATGAGCGCTACTCGAACCCTATTCCCTAAACCCTACACCCCAAAGTGTTAGCCTGGGTCTTAAATCTGCGCAGAGCCCTAAGCCCCCCAAACACTGCCTAAACCTCCTAAACTGTAGAGACCCGCGAAAAATCTGAAGGCCTAAACCCTAAACCCCAAACCCTAAACCCTAATTAAGCCTTAAGCCCTAAGCCTTAAGCCCGAACCCCTAAACCCTAAGCCCTAAACTCTAAACCCTAAACCCTAAACTCTAAACCCTAAACCCTGAACCCTTCACCCTGAGCCCAAAGTCCCTCCAGGGGTCAAGTCGGGCCTCCTCAACTCCGGTATGCCGATTGCCGGGCGCCAGGGCTAGGGCTGGAGCGGCCCCCCATCCACCATGGGGTTTAGGGTTTAGGGTGTAGGGTTTAGGGTTTAGGGTTTAGGGTTTAGGAGTAGTCGTCAAGGGTTTAGGGTTTGGGGTTAAGGGTTTAGGGATTCAGGCTTAGGCCCCCGGGGGTTGATTAGACTATCAGAGTTTTGGACCATGGCGACACCCAAAAAGGGCGGGGGCGGGGGCGGGGGGGGGGAGTGAACATATTCTGGGGAGGAGGACTTCTCCAGCTGTCGGCTGACGGGTGTTATTGGTGGTGTTTGAGGGCTGGAAGTACAGGATGCAGCTTGGGTTTGGGATTCAGCGTTTTTGTTGGGTTGCGGGATGGCAGGGAAAGTTGCTGGGGTTCCAGCCCTCATCAGGGTCATGGAGTTATCCCCCCGCTCCCTCGCAGCACTCAGAGCAACCCAGCTGTTGCACAGATGGAGTTCCCCAAGCTCCTCTAGCAGCTGCTTGAAGCAGAGCATGGGAGGTCTGGGTAAGTTTCTGTGCCTTAAAACGCAAGAATGGCCCCCCAAACGACCGAAACCTCAAGCCGCCAAAGCCTATGCTCTGTGTCCCTGAACCCTAGACCCGAAGCCCCGCAAGCCTAGCCCTCAAACAATGGAACGCCCCAAAGGCAAACCCCAAAAGCACCCTTGAAGCACCTTTGCTCGGACCGCCCACGGGGCAATCATTCCCATGTTTTTGTTCGTTAGGTTCCTGTCATAAGCTGGTTGACCCCATCAAACCTCCTAAACCTTGATGCTTCTTCAACGCCCTGAAAACTTTGGACCCTAGACCCTAAACCCTACACCCTAAGCCCCAAGCCCTAAACCCTAAACCCCAAATCCCTAAGCCCTAAACCCTGAAACCCAAAACCCTAAACCCTAAACCCTAAACCCTAAACCCTTCCTGGAAGAGCCTGCCAAGGTCGCCGTGCACCTCTGGTTCGCCCGGGCCCTGGGGGGGGGAGGAAGGCCAGCGCTTTAGGGGGTCTGCGCTGTAGGGCTTTCCAGGTAGGTTCTGCGGATCTTCATATATATATATATATATATATATATATAGATGTACGATGTTGTTTACTTATGGTTCCTCTTATTAATATAAATAAAATAAATATGTATATATATATATATATATAAAAATAAAGACATACCTTTACAGATCTCTATGATCCTGCATTTGTTTCTCTATTTCTTGCTTTGCTCATATTCCTTTTTTGGGCTTCGGAGGCTTCTCGAAGATGTTCGGAGGCCCCTTCGGGGAACGCTTGGTCTCAAACCCTTTGGGTCTTCAGAGGGCTTCTAGACCCTAAACCCTCTAAACCCTGAAGATTCAGGGTTTGGGGTTTGGGGTTTAGGGTTTAGGGTTTAGAGGTGAAACCCTAAGCCCCTAGACATGACACCCCAAGCATGTCTTTGCTTGAAGCGGAGGTTGCATTTTGAATCTAGGAATGTCTTGTCTGTGGATAGTGTGTCCGGGGGCTAATAAGCATCTGTTACTGGATCCAACACAGCCCTCTGGACTTCTGAGTAGTTGGGAAGCAGAGGCCTGTTCTATGGCACATGGCTCATCGGGGACACTGCAGGGTTTGGGGGCTTTTGAGGCAAGGAGGCACACTTGTGAAGAAGCTGTGACTCGAGGTGAAACCCCGGATGCAGCCCTACACTCAAAGCAGCCCCACATCCGCAACCTAAGCCTCGAAACCCGAAACCCAAAGCCCGAGACCCCTAAACCCTAAACTCTAAACTCTAAACTCTAAACTCTAAAGCCTAAACCCTAAACCCTATTAACCCAACCCCTAACCCCTAACCCCTAACCCCTAACCCCTAACCCCTAAACCCTAAACCCTAAACCCTAAACCCTAAACCCTAAACCCTAAACCCTACTAAACCCTACTAAACCCTACTAAACCCTACTAAACCCTACTAAACCCTACTAAACCCTACTAAACCCTACTAAACCCTACTAAACCCTAAACCCTAAACCCTAAACCCTAAACCCTAAACCCTAAACCCTAAACCCTAAACCCTAAACCCTAAACCCTAAACCCTAAACCCTAAACCCTAAACCCTAAACCCTAAACCCTAAACCCTAAACCCTAAACCCTAAACCCTAAACCCTAAACCCTAAACCCTAAACCCTAAACCCTAAACCCTAAACCCTAAACCCTAAACCCTAAACCCTAAACCCTAAACCCTAAACCCTAAACCCTAAACCCTAAACCCTAAACCCTAAACCCTAAACCCTAAACCTCACCTCCGCAACGCCAAGGTGGTGTACATCTGCTTCGCACTACTGGTGCTCTTCAACATGCTTCTGGGCGTGGCAAGAGGGCCCCGCGAAGCCATGAGCCGCAACCTAGGGTTTAGGGTTTAGGGTTTAGGGTTTTGGATTTTAGGGTTTAGGGTTTAGGGTTTAGGGATGCGTCTTCTTCATTCAGGGCCCCGAAACGGCCCAAGATTCCACAAGCCCAACAGAGGGGTTGCAATAGCTCCTACTAGAATCTCTTCTGGTCCCTATAGAAGTATGCTACAATCACCCCCAAAACCTTGTTGTAATGATTATGCCCCCTACGTTCAGCAGCCGCAGAGGTTTTCCGGGGTCATCACACTCAGGTGTTTAGGCGGATGTGGGCCGGACTCCAACTCCAAACCTGAACTCCCCAAACCCCAAACCTTTAACCCTAAAACCTAAAACCTAGAACCTAAAACCCTAAACCCTAAATCCTAAACCCTAAGCCCTAAACCCTGAGCCCTAAACCCTAAACCCTATACCTCCCTAGAGGATCCTAAGTTCCCTTACCATCTTCCCCGAGGTTGCTGGCCATGGTCCTGGACAGCTACGCCGCAGCGGCTCAGGCTTTCGTGAGGGCTTAGGGCTTAGGGCTTAGGGCTTAGGGTTTAGGGTTTAGGGTTTAGGGTTTAGGGTTTAGGGTTTAGGGTTTAGGGTTTAGGGTTTAGGGTTTAGGGTTTAGGGTTTAGGGTTTAGGGTGGCTTTTGGTGATAAAGGGGCACAGGCCCCTGCGGTCTGAGTTTGGGCTGGGAAGCAACTGCAGGTTCTGACGAAGAGGGCCGATGCGCCCACGATCATAACCCAGCCACTCGGCGTATGAGTGGGCATGGGCCTTGTGGGGATTTTTGACGGGCAAATTTGTTGATTGACCATCTCAAGGGTTTAGGGTTTAGGGTCCAGGGTCTAGGGTCTAGGGTTTAAACCCAGGTTAGGGTATTAGGTGATTAGTCAGGGCGAGGGGGGACAAACTGAACAGGGGAACGCTGCCCCCCCCCCCCACACCCAGGACTTGGCGATACTTCCAGCGGTGGAAGGACAGAAGATGGGATTCGAGCTTGAGGGGGGGTTTAACCGTAGGGAATGAGGGAATGAGGCCTGCATCCCCCTGTTGTATAATGTTAGAGTCCCTTTAATAAACCCCCCCCAATCTTGTTTTGGTCCCCGGGGTTTGGAGAGGTGGAAAAAAATGTGGGGTGTCAATTGTGAGGATTCTGGGGGTCTGGGTGGGTCAGCTGTCAGGGTCTGCTTTGCTTTGCAATGGAACTCTTAAGCCATTTTCAGTAAAATTTTCAATTCCTGGCCGGAAAATTTTTTACAAATACCACCCCATTATTATTATCACCGGACCCCCCTATATAGACTTGTTTACATACATCGGCCCGAAAACCTCCCGTAATGGAAAGTAGTCTTCGGCTGGGGCCCTCTGGCCCGGCGAATATTACCATTACCACCCCAATTAAAAAAGCGACTCTCACATTACCCTTTAAGGGATCTTTAAGGGATGATAAGGGGGACCTCATTCCCTCATTGCCTACTAACCATCAGCAAGTAACAGGGGGTACGCCAGCTGCAGAAGCCTCCGCTTGTAGCTTGGCAGAGAAGCTGCGCGAGATACCTCGAAAACCCAGATTTCTCAACAGCAATGAAGGTTTAGCAGGGATCTACACATGGGGCCTCTTGGATCATGGGTTCTTGAAGAACGTTGCTAAAAGAAATCTTGCCTTGAAGACCCTAAACCCTAAACCCTAAACCCTAAACCCTAAACCCTAAACCCTAAACCCTAAACCCTAAACCCTACTTCCATTCATCCTCCACCCTGCGGCGTTTAGGAGAGCTTCTTCTGGCCTAAGCCCAAAGCCCGAAGTCCTAAGGCCCTAAACTCTGAACGCACATCTGCGGCCGCTCTTTTCTTCTGTCCCACGGGCCCTTTGGAGAAGGAGTCCTTGATCTTTAGGGTGTAAGGTCTAGGATCTAGGGATTGGGGTATAGGTTTTAGGGTTCAGGCTTTAGGGCTTAGGGTTTAACAAACAGCCCTTGACAAAGGAGACTATCCGTTTTGTCCCCTTGCGGCACTTGGCGAACCAGCTCTACGATTTGGACTGCCACCGGCAGAAGGCACGGAGATGCATCTTCGGTCGACTGACCGGTTGGGCTAAGTTGGGTTCCCTTTTTGGGGGGGGGGGGGGGGTTAGGGAGTTTAGGGATTCAGGGTTTTGGGTTTGGGGTTCAGGGTTTAGGGTTTAGGGTTTAGGGTTTGGGGCCAAATAAGCTGTCATAAGCAGTTTCCATGTGGAGTTTTGTAAGCTACAGACCAGCAAGCACACCCCGAAAAGCGAGCCTCACAAAGCTGGTGGTGAATTCGTCTCAAGTTGTTTTTGAGGGGGGGTGGTCTAGGAATTTCAGGGGAGGTGGTGAAAAGGGCCCTTAAACCCCAGACCCTACACCCCAAACCCTATAAACCCCAAAACCTTATAAACTTCAAACCGCAAGGGTTTAGGTTTCAGGGTTGATTCAGACTTTAGGGTTTAGGGTTTAGGGTTTAGGGTTTAGGGTTTAGGGTTTAGGGTTTTGCGAACCCTCCTTCTCATGGGTAAGCTAAGAACTCTACAAGCGTGCGCCAGCAATGGCCTACAAACAAAAGGCGAGGTTGCGTGTTCTTAAAGTAAAACCTCAAGCCCTAAACCCTAAACCCTAAACCCTAAACCCTAAACCCTAAACCCTAAACCCTAAACCCTAAACCCTAAACCCTAAACCCTAAACCCTAGAACCTAAACCCCGAGCCCCTAAACCCGAAACCCTAAACCCGAAAAGTCGCAGGTCGTCACATCGACGTCGCTTCAGGAGGCCCCTCCGTGAGTCTTGGGGGGGCTAAACCCTAAACCCTGAACCCTGAATCCTAAACCCTAAACCCGAAACCCTAACCCTGAACCCTAAACCCTGAACCCTGAACCCTGAACCCTGAACCCTGAACCCTGAACCCTGAACCCTGAACCCTGAACCCTGCCCCTGGCTTCCCTTGTATGTGTGTGCCGATGCATGCATTTGAGATGTATACTCATACATAAATACATACGTATGTATGTATGTATGTCTTGCATGCAATGTAGTTAGTAGGTGCAAGACTTGGGATCTTATGACTTCGCTGGAAGCCCAGTTGTAGGCTCACCTTTCTGCCTTTTTTCGGTGTTCGGCGGCATTCTGGCCAGGCATTCCCGAAGATGAAGCGGAAGCAGGCCACGTTTCGCGTGTCGGAGTTTAAGGGTTTAGGGACTCAGGAGGCTTCCGAGGGGCTTGGAAGAGCTTGTGTTCATAGAACCCCCATTCCCAATTGCCCTGAACCCTAACCACTAACCCCCCTTCCCATTGCTGGAATGTGTAGTGTAGAAAATGTTGCTCCTGATGGTGGGTCTTCCGAAACTCACGCTCTCCCTTTACCCAAAGACGCCCCAAGCCCTAAAACTCCTAAACCCCAAAGGGTTTCGGGTTTAGGGTTTACATAGGGTGCGTAGCGGGAGGGGTCATCTGTGAGGCAGGGGATTAGCTGAACTTCGACGAATCCTGCGAAAAAAACGAGAGGCATCGCCTTTGACACCATAAGCCGGCTACTTGGAGGTTTAACCATTTATAACTGTACTTATAACCCACTTAAAAGCCCCTGAAGTGCCCTAATGTGGGTATAAGTACAGGTAAAAGTACAGTTAGAAGTGGTTAAGAACTACCACGAACCTCCAAGTACAGGCCTTTGAGAGCGTTTAAGGCTTAGATGGCTTACACGGCTGGTAGGGTCTTGCAAGGGTTTAGGGTTTAGGGCTAAGGTTTGCAGGGTTATTTAGAGAGCTTGTAGGGTTGTCGGGGGGAAACCCTAAACCCTAGACCTTAACCCTTAACCTTTAACCCTAAACCCTAAACCCTGAACCCTAAACCCTAAAACCCCTCAAGAAGTGCGCCCTGTGCCGAAGCCTCAGCCAATGGCTGGGTCTTCCCTGTACGCTGTGCTACATCTGGAGACGCATGCCACGCCCGAGCAGATCAGGTGCGCCTTCAAGAAGCGTGCCCTTCAGGTGGGGTTTAGGGTTTAGGGTTTAGGGTTTAGGGTTTAGGGTTTAGGGTTTAGGGTTTAGGGTTTAGGGTTTAGGGTTTAGGGTTTAGGGTTTAGGGTGGGTTTACGGCTTTCTGTTTTGGGTATCCAACTGAGTAGGACCCCCGCTGTCATCGGTACCACAAGAAGTCTTACCAGGTGTGGGTGCATCTCATTTCGGGTAGAATCGTTGCCATTCTGTCCTTGAAGGATGTATATAAACCCCTAAACCCTAAACCCCAAACCCCAAACCCCAAACCCTAAACCCTAAACTCTAAACCCTAAACCCCAAACCCTAAACCCTAAACCCTAAACCCTAAACCCTGAACCCTGCGAAGCTTTGGGGAGCTGACCAGGTCCACCCAGACAAGGGGGGGAGCAAGGAGTGCTTCCACCTGGTTTACCGGGCCTTTGAGATCTTAGCCGACCCGACCACCCGGTCAAAGTATGATGCGCAGCATCTTCTGGGTACCGGCTCAACTCCGGCCAAGGAGACGACGGTCAAACGTCCCAAGGCGAAACCTGAGGCCCGGAAAGAGGCCCCGAAGCCCGCGCCCGGCGCGCGCAAGAGGGAGCCCCCAGGCCCAGCGCAGCCTCCGCCGGGCGCCTGCGGCCGTGACATGGCTGAGTCCTTTCTGGCCCAGGTCCATGCAATTCTGCGGAGCCTACCAAGAGAAACCCGCCTGCAAGTGATCCGCGATGACTTCTCTCAGCAGCAGAGGGTCCAGCTGGAGAAGTGGATTGCAGAGCAGCCGTCGCAGTTCGCGCCGCGAGCGCTAAGAAGCAGCCTTCCGGCGTCCGCACCATGGGTGCCACCATCCCTGTGCCCACCCATGGCCCTGGAGGACTCCCGTCCTCCCTGCAGCTCAGCTGAAGCCCCACTGGAATCTGCCGAAAGTAAGGCTGCTGCCAGCTCCACGCGTAAGCGTCAGAAAAACACCATGCGGGGCGTGTACCGCCGCCCGCAGAAGAAGTCTGAGCACACGATCATGTACGCTGCAAACATTGTTTTCGATGCGGTCTCGATTACCAGCAAGGACACCGACCTACCTACGGCTGTGGAGTTCCTTGTCATTCTCACAGCCATCAAGCAGAGAATGAGCAAGCTTTCCAGCAACTCTGCTTACGGCTCTCGCCTTCAGGGAGCTATCGAGTCCTCCGCGGCCGAACAGGGCCGGAGCGTCGAGGAACTGGGCCTCCGGTTTCAGGTCTGCCAGACAAATGGCTTCTTCCTGGGCCCTCGGGTGAAAGTGAGGTCACCGACGGTGCGCAGCGTGGACCAGCTGGCGCAGCTGCGCGAGCGCCTCGGCTGATTTCTTGCAGTTGTTTTTTGTGGCCTTGATGCGGTGCTTCCTGGGCCTAAAGTCCGCAAACCCCTAAGCCCTGTATTGCCCCTGCCCCTAGCCTACAAAGCCCAATATCAGCTTAAAAACTCCTTCACCCTAAACCCTAAACCCTATACCCTATACCCTAAACCGCTAACGAACCACAGCCCTGCGTGAAATCTGCAGGTGCATGAGCCCCGTCCGCCCGGTGCTGAAGCAAGGCATGGGAAACTCGGTAGGCCCTTGGGACACTTTCTATTTTCCCTTATTGGGTTGAAGAGGATCCTAAACCCTAAACCCTAAACCCTAAACCCTAAACCCTAAACCCTGGGCCATCCGAGGAAAAGGGCGCAGCAGCGTGGTGTGGCAGTATGGCCCCGTAGACTTGGAGCGGCGATGGGAGCAGTTCCAGGACTCCTAGGTAGGATAAGGGGGACCCTTAAAGGGGACCCCTTCTGAACCCTCTTGTGGCTCTCTTAAACAGGGACCTTATTCAGAGGGTCGATCTCCCCAAGGGTCTCCCGAATCTGGATCCCGAAGGACGCAGTGGCTTCAATGTGGGAGTGTGTCGGCCTGCCCAGCGAGAATTCAGGGCTAGGTTTGAACAGAACTTTTCATTTCTAATTATAGATCCCCTATATAATCCTTACGAAGCCGTGAAAATGTAGTTTTTCTAGGGAACCCCTAAACCCTAAACCCGAAACCCTAAACCCCAAACCCCAAACCCGAAATCCTAAACCCTAAACCCTAAACCCCACCCCAGGAATGCCATCAAGCACCTGCAGTTGATGTACGACGGCAACGCCTGCCTGCGGCATCGGCACCTGCAATATTGGGAGTCGCAGCACATGGCCATGCAAGACAAGCTGCTCGGCCCTGGGGAGATGTCATATGCAAACATATACATAGAATATCTGCCTATATAAATATAGATATAAATAAAAAACGATAATATATAAACATATAAATATATAAATATATAAATATATAAATATATAAATATATAAATATATAAATATATAAATATATAAATATATAAATAAGTAAATAAATAAATACAGAAATATATATATATATATATATATATATGGACACCCCCCCCCCCCCCATGACCTACCCAGATCTGTTTCCCTCGTAAATACCGTTTAAAACCCGCTCATGCCCTATGCCGTTTTTTGCTACTCTCAGTGGCTGTCTCTCGACAAAACAGACCCCACAAGGACCACAGGACACGGGCGAAACCCCAAAAAAAAAACAACTTTTTAAGATAATGGGGAGGGGATGTTGAAAAGATTGTTTTTGTTTGGTTTTGCCTGGTAAAAGATGGTTTTTCATAGAAAAACCAACTTTTACCTCGCAAAAAGGTGGTTTTCCTGAGGCAGACCAGGCCAAAACCATCTTTTTACGAGGGGAAAGTTGGTTTTTCTATGAAAAACCATCTTTTCGAGGGAAAACCAAAAAATCAAAAAAACCATCTTATTTAGAGACTGGGGAGGGGATGTTGAAAAAGGTGTTTTTTTTGGTTTTGCCTCGTAAAAAGATGGTTTTTCATAGGAAAACCAACTTTCCCCTCGTAAAAAGATGGTTTTGGCCTGGTCTGCCTCAGGAAAACCATCTTTTTGCGAGGTAAAAGTTGGTTTTTCTATGAAAAGCCATCTTTTACCAGGCAAAACCAAAAAAAACAAAAAAAAAAAACATCTTGTTTAGAGAATGGGGAGGGGGTGTTGAAAAAGATGTTTTTTTTGGTTTTGCCTCGTAACAAGATGGTAAAAAGATGGTTTTCCATAGAAGAACCAACTTTTCCCACACAAAAAGATGGTTTTGGTCTGGTCTGCCTCAGGAAAACCATCTTTTTACGAGGGGAAAGTGGGTTTTTGGCTCCAAAACCATCTTTTTACGAGGTAAAAGTTGGCTTTTGTCTCCAAAACCATCTTTTTACGAGGGGAAAGTTGGTTTTTCTATGAAAAACCATCTTTTTACGAGGCAAAACCAAAAAAACCATCTTTTTCAACATCCCCTCCCCATTCTCCAAAAAAGATGTTTTTTTGTTTTTTGGTTTTGCCTGGTAAAAGATGGTTTTTCATAGAAAAACCAACTTTTACCTCGCAAAAAGATGGTTTTCCTGAGGCAGACCAGGCCAAAACCATCTTTTTACGAGGGGAAAGTTGGTTTTCTATGAAAAACCATCTTGTTACCATCTTGTTACGAGGCAAAACCAAAAAAACCATCTTTTTCAACATCCCCTCCCCAGTCTCTAAATAAGATGTTTTTTTTGTTTTTTGGGTTTTCCCTCGAAAAGATGGTTTTTCATAGAAAACCAACTTTCCCCTCGCAAAAAGATGGTTTTCCTGAGGCCAAAACCATCTTTTTGCGAGGGGAAAGTTGGTTTTTCTATGAAAAACCATCTTTTTACGATGCAAAACCAAAAAAACAATCTTTTTGAACATCCCCTCCCCATTCTCTTAAAAAGTTGGTTTTTGTTGGTTTTTTGGTTTTGCCTCGTACCTCTCTCGGGCCAGAACCGTTCAGCTCTACATGTAGCTGTCCAGTGGACGGTTTTGGTTCGACGCAGGACGTGTCAGCATGCTTGGAGGCTCGTTGGTTTTGGTCAGTCTTATATTAATCTCAGCAACAGCATTCCTATTCCTATTAATGTAAAAGGGTTCCTAACCATCTTTATAGGACTTCTTTTCATTTTCCTTGAATTCTTTTGAACTTGCAGAGGTTTCTTATTCAACATCAGAGGATTCCTCATATTTTTCAATAGGGTTCTTATGCATTTCAACAAGGTTCTTAATCATTTTAAAGTGGTTCTTTTAAGTCCAATCTGAAATTAAAAATCTTTTTTTAAGATTCATATTGGTGCCTATTCATTTTAGTGCGTCTCCAAGTAATTCTAATGGTATTCTTAGAGATTTGAATAGCATTCCTAGTCCTATTAATTCTAATGGGCATCACATTAAGTCTAACAGGAAGCCCAGAATTTTGAAAAGGAACCACATTGAATTTTGTAGGATTCCTATTGTTTCCTATTAACTTTAGTAGGATTCCTTTTCATTTTAAACGGATTCCTATCAATTCGTAATAGGGTTCTTGTGAAGTTTACTGGGGTTCCTAATGAATTCCGATTAACGTCAAAGGGTTCCTAACCATCTTAATAGGACCCCTCTACCACTTCATGATATTCTTATGAATTTTCATATTAATTTTTGTAGGATTCCGATTGGTTCCTATTAATTTTAATAGGATTTCTCTTCGTTTTCAAAGGATTCCTGTTAATTTGCAATAAGGTTCTTATGTTTTTTAGTGGTGTTGCTAATAAATTCCTATTGATGGTAGGACCCTCTTCATTTAAAAGATTCCTCTTAATTTGTACAAGGGTTCTTATGAATTTTAGTGGGTTCCTCATAAATTGAATAGGATTCTAATTCATCATAACAAGATTAAGAGAAATATTAATATAGATTTAATGGAGTTCCCACATTCCCGTGAATTCAAACAAGGGTCCCTTTTCATTTTCACAGGCTCCCTACTATTCTTGATGGGGGCCCTATTATTTTTCTACATTTAATAGCATTCCCATGACGTTTGATAGAGAGTTCCTCTGACTCAAATATGATTCCAAGTCATTATTCCTATTAATTCAATAAGATTCCTATTAATTTCAATAAGAGTCTTATTGATTTTAATAGGGTTCGTATTAATTTTCATAGGGTTTTCGTTCAATTAATAGGGTTCTTATTAAATTCATACCTATGACTAAGTATGGATTTGTTCCTCCGACACGGCCTCACGGTAGGTCATGGGGGGGGGGGGGTGTGAGCATATATATATATATATATCTGCGTGTGTAGATGGTCGGCCACCCCCCGCGATCCACACCTATGGGTTTGCTAGCTTTTCTTTATCTGAATTCTATGTAGCTGCCCTCTGCTTGGGCACTCAGACATGCTGCTGCCGGGAGTTGTTACTGACCCCAAACCCTAAACCCTAACCCTCTTACCCTAAACCCTAAACCCTAAACCCTAAACCGGGACTATAGGGCCAACTCCGAGGATATGCCACCGGCCCAGGCGCCTGCGGTACCCGTCGCAGATCGGGCGCGTGCGCGGGCCCCGGCCCGCGAGGAAGCGGGTGCACCCGGCTCGGAAGCCCCTGAGTCGGCTCCTGAGCAGCTGAATGAGTACACTTTATACACCTTTTTTGTGGGATACCATAATCCCCGACTGAAAGCGTACACTTTACGCTATTGAAGTCACTATTTGGGATACCAGAATCCCCTACAGAACTGAGAGTCTACACTTTTTTGGGGGGCTTATGAAGTCAGCAACTAAGGCTCAGGGCGCTGCTGCGGAGGTGGCTCCGGCTGCTGGAGGCGGAGCGGAAGCAGGCGGAGAAGGAGCGGCGCGGGCGCCTGCGGGAGCAGCGGAAGCGTCAGCTGGAGAGGCAGGAGTTGCTTCGGGTTTTTTGAGAATACGGTTTTATTTTTATTTTTTTTATCTTTGTTTTACAAACTTTTCGGGTACTATCCCTTGGGACATTTTTGTTACTTTCCCTTATATTGGGTTTAAGAGGCTCCTACTCAGGAATAATATTTTTTCAGAGGGTGTCAAAGGGGGCCATCCGAGGTTGGAGCGGCAGGCGCAGCGAGCCGCCCGACGAAGGCAGGCGGAGGCCCGCGCGGCCCGCTCAAGAAGGGAGTCGGCGCGCCGGAAGGTGACCATATCCTTCTTGGGAATTACTTTTGTACTTTTAGGGTTTAGGGTGTAGGGTTTAGGGTTTAGGATTTTGGTTTATATAGGGCCCAAGAGGATAGTTAAAATATTAGGTTGTTTTTTTAAGAAGGGGGGGTATAGGTGATCTTCAGCGACCTCACCATGGAGGAGATTCTGCGAGGGCCAGATGCCAGAAAAGAGGAGCTTCCCTCACCCCTCCCCCCCCCCCTCCCTCCCCCCCCCCCCTTCCCCCCCCCCCCCCCCCCCCCCCCCCCCCCCCCCCCCCCCCTCGCCCCCCAGCCCGACATCGGATCATGTTGTTTGGTGGTCGACATGCCGCTGCCCTCAGGCTGAGTGGCTGATGCGCACCCTCTTCCAGGAGGACTGGGGTTTCAAGGTACAGGTGGGTTCACCCCGCTTGCGCAGGGGTTTCACGGCGCAAATGAACCCCTTACTAGGCCCAAAACCCCGAACCCCCCCCCCCATACACTCTCCTGCAGAGACCCAAGCGGGACGTAGGATTGTGTATTCGGGTGCTGGGCTTGTGAAGGTCGCCAGGGCGCTCAGCTTGGGTTTAGGGTGTGGGATTTAGGGTGGCAGGTTTTTGGAGGGCTTAGCCCAGTTAAGCTTCCTCCTTTATCCTTTAGCTGCTTAGCTGTTGCCACAAGGACAAGCGGGCAAAGGCACTGGCCTTGGCACTTTTGCAAGCCCAACCCTGGGTTTTGGAGTACTATCCTTTGGTACGTTTTTGGGTTCTGGGTTCCTGTTATAGCTGCTTATACACCTAAACAGTATACACTTGTTTTCCAGGGTTTACTCCAGAGTATGGAACCAGGGCCCTTTCAGACCCCTTAAACCCTTAACCCTTAAAACCCAAGCAAGGAAACCCCCCGGTTTTTTGTAGGGCTTAGGGGTTAGGGTTTAGGGTTTAGGGTTTAGGATTTAGGGTTTAGGGTTTAGGGTTCAGGGGCATTACAGGGTTCGGGCTTAGCCTTAAGATCTTTGGGGCTGGAGTTTGCGAGGCTCCAACAGCTCCTAAGTGCCCAGGTCTGCTGTGGTAGGCCAGGGTCATCTCTGCCCTGTGGCCCGGTAGGGTTTAGGGTTTAGGGTCTAGGGTTTAGGGTTTAGGGTTTAGGGTTTAGGGTTTAGGGATTAGGGTTTAGGGTATAGGGTTTAGGGTTTAGGGTTTAGGGCTTAGGGCTTAGGGTCGGTGGCCTAGGGACCCCCCCCCCCTACCCTACAAGTTCCTTGCCCTTTTCGCTGCCAGGGCTCTGGGTTTTGGAATCGTCTTGTCACAAAGACCGACCTGACTGGGATTCCTCTCGGGCTTTTCGTTCCTTCTTGGGCTTGAACATGCGAGAGATCCCTACGCCGGAAACTTACAGTAAGCCTCCAGACAGACAACGCGAGACCCCCCAAACTTGGACCCAACCCCAACACCCCCAAAACGACCAGGAGCCAAAAGCACTGAAACCCTCAGCCCTACACCCTCATTTGGGGCTTAGGGTCTGCCTGCTATCAGAGGCAACACAGAAGGCGCTGGAGGGCCAGGCCTGCCGAACCTGGAGTTCAGGGTTTAGTGGTTTAGGGTTTAGGGTTTCGGGTTGAGGAGTTTCGGGTTTAGGGTTTAGGGGTTTGTGGTTTAGGGTTTAGGGTTTTCGGGGTTTCGGGGTTTCGGGTTTAGGGGTTCAGGGTTCAGGGGTTTGGGGTGCGCCAACTCCCCCAAATGACCTATATAAGCGTGGCCTCTACTCAAGCATGAGTTTGGGATCATGGGGTTCCATTGGGGGGGGGGGGGGGGGGGGGGAGGGTTTAGTACTCTCCAGGGTGCTCCGTACATTTGGAAGAGGGCTTTCGATCATCATTCACAGGTAGGGCCACGCCCCAAAACTCCGAGCCCCGAGCCACCTAAACCCTAAACCCTAAACCCTAAACCCTAAACCCTAAACCCTAAACCCTAAACCCTAAACCCTAAACCCTAAACCCTAAACCCTAAACCTTTAGCGACCAGAGTCGCTCCAAAGAGCTCTCAAAAAGACCGACTCAGAGGTTAACATAGGGTTTTATGTTGCAATCTTGGGGTTTGTTTTTTTGTTCGTTCAGCCTCTTTGACCTTAAGTACTTCTCTGCCTAGACCCTCCCCCAGTTCCCGTTAAGAGGTACCCTATGGATGCCATTTGAGTGAGGGGAATGAGGGGGGCGCAGTAGCCAGAACAATGGCCAAAATTGATTAAACAAGTGGCTGATGATGGGTACATTGATCTTCGCGTCGTGATTGCAGAAACGGGTTGAGGAGCGGTTCAGCGAGAAATTTCGATCGTTGCCTCGGGCCCTGTGCAGGATCAACGGAGCTACTTCTCCTCACCGGACTTTTGCCTGCGGTTTTCGGTTTTCGGGTTGCGGTGTTTCGGGCAGTATCGGGTTTCGGGGTTCATGGTTTCGGGGGTTTTCACAGCGGCTTTTCCCCGAACCACCCACCATCACCATGGCAAAACACTGCCCTGCACACTAGCTAGGTCCTTGGGATAGTATCTTCCTTGGCAAAGTTTAAGACGCTCACTGTCAAAACGTGGGCATATTGTTCAGGGGGCACCCCAAACCCCAAACCCCAAACCCCAAACCCCAAACCCCAAACCCCAAACCCCAAACCCCAAACCCCAAACCCCAAACCCCAAACCCCAAACCCCAAACCCCAAACCCTAAACCCTAAACCCTAAACCCTAAGCGGCTGATCTAGGGTAGTAAGGTGCTAGAGACTCGCCAGGTTAGAGGGCGTCGCATCTAGTGAAGCCAAACCCGAAGATCCCCTTCCTTGAGGGTTCTGGTTCGGGTTTAGGGTTTAGGGTTTAGGGTTTAGGGTTTAGGGTTTAGGGTTTAGGGTTTAGGGTTTAGGGTTTAGGGTTTAGGGTTTAGGGTTTAGGGTTTAGGGTTTAGGGTTTAGGGTTTAGGGTTTAGGGTTTAAAGGGTTTAGGGTTTAGGGTTTAGGGTTTAGGGTTTAGGGTTTAGGGTTTAGGGTTTAGGGTTTAGGGTTTAGGGTTTAGGGTTTAGGGTTTAGGTTTAGGGGTTCGGGGTTAAGGGTTTATTTAGGGTTTAGGGGTTTAGGGTTTAGGGTTAAGGGGTTGGGGGTTTTAGGGGACACCTAAACCCGAAACCCGAAACCCGAACCCTTGGGCGGTATCAGATACCTCGCTCCACACGGCAAAGTGGACCCTAACGGCCCGGCTTACTATACTGCACTATCCTAACCCTTAAAGCCGCCACAGAAACCCTAAGCCCTCCTAAACCTCGCCTCGGGCGCCTGACCGTGTTACCGAAAAACCCAACAGCTGAGCCAACACCCCACTGAAAAGAGAACAACCGACCCTAAACAAGCTCCAGCTGCAATCTTGGAACCCCTCAAGTGCCTCAGAACGCCGCCCCCCCAAAAAGCAACAGAGAGGCTCCTTAAACCCCTAAACCCTATTTAACCCCTAAACCCCTGGTCCAGCCCGAAAACCATCCCAGGAGGGGCCCGACGCAAACCAGATTGCTGCAGCCTGCGCCCCCGCTTTCCGGGCTCCTCGAGCTATTTGTGGGTTCAGGAGTCAGGGTATAGTGATTTTGTGCGTTCGGCTCCGCGTCAGTGGGTCTTATACCCGAAACCCCCAACCCTATACCCTAAACCCGAAACGCGAAGCCCTAAACCCTGAACCCTGAAAGAGTGGTGTTGGGTTCAGGGGTCAGGACTTAGCTGTTTAGGTCTGACTGAAAGGGCTTTGGGTTTTTGGGTCTTTAGGGTTTGGGGGTTTTGGGTTTAGGGTTTAGGGTTTGGGGTTTAGGGTTTAGGGGTTAGGGGTGTAGGGGTTAGGGGTTTAAGGTTTAGGGTTTAGGGTTGAGCCCTGAGCTTCATGGGCGGCTTCACAGTGTCATCGCACGTGAGAGTTGTATGTTACGGGGGAGAGTCCATGTGAGTTTCGGCCTTCGGCTACCCTAGACTCGAACCTCCCAACCCTAAACCCATGAATGTTAAGCCCTAAACCCTAAACCCTAAACCCTAAACCCTAAACCCTAAACCCTAAACCCTAAACCCTAAACCCTAAACCCTAAACCCCCTACAATGACCTATAGAGGCTGCAGCGGAGAAGTCGTCGGTCGAGCTCCTGGCGCGACTAGCGTCCTTGGAGGCGAAGGCTGGGATCAGGGTATTTAGGGTTTAGGGGTTTCGGGGTTTAGGGTTTAGGGGTTTAGGGGTTGGGGTTTAGGGTTTGGGGTTTCGGGTTTCGGGTTTCGGGTTTCGGGTTTAGGGTTTGGGTTTAGGGTGCAGGAGATTAGGGTTTAGGGGTTTAAGGTCCTGTTTTAGGGTTAAGGGCTTAGGGTTGACAGTTCGGGGCTTGGGTTTTTTTTGGGATTTCCAAGGTTAGGATTTCGAAGCTCTGGGTTCCAGGATCAGACCCTAAACCATATACCCTAAACACTAAACCCTATAAACCCTAAACCCTAAACCGAAACCCTAAACCCTAAACCCTAAACCCTAAACCCTAAAGACCCTCAACCCTAGCACACCCCGGATTTCGGGTTTAGGGTTCGGGATCCTAACTCGCGAAGGGTCCAGTTCCCAAAATGGGGTCCCAGACGGGGCACCCCTGTCTGAGGAGAATTCCGGGCATAATTTTGCGGGCGCAGGGCATTGTGAGGAAAAATGACATCACTGAATCACCCCAAACACCGGTAACCCCACCCTGAATCACCTAAACCCTAAACCCTAAACCCTAAACCCTAAACCCTAAACCCTAAACCCTAAACCCTAATCCTGCAAGCCGCCCCACGCAACAGAGCCCCACAGGCGCCCGCCCTAGAATTGGCGCGCTCGTGTGGCTGCAGAGCCCGAACCTTGAGCCCGAGCCCCCTCAAGAGAGCTGAGTTACCCGAAACCCTAAACCCTAAACCCTAAACCCCGAAACCCGAAACCCGAAACGCGAAACCCGAAACCCTAAACCCTAACCCTAATCCGTGCTTCTGATGAATGCCCCCCCCCCCCCAAAAAAAAATGAAGGAAACGGGTCCTATGATATCCTGGGCTTGGTGGGAAGAAGGGGAAGGGGGGGGGGGGGGTGAGGTGGGCGTTCCAGGGGCTGTCCTCTTCTGTCCTTTTCCGCTCCTCTTCTCCTCTTCTTGGAAGGCGGCTTAGTTTTTTCTCTCTCCCCGAGGTTTTCTTCCTTAATTCTTGGGGTGTTCATGATCATTCCCTTCTTGGCACCTTGGCTGTGCTTGCTGAAGCAATTCAAAATCTCGGGCAATTGCTTACAACCCTAAACCCTAGACCCTAAACCCTAAACCTTAAACCCCAAACCTTAAACACTCCGCAAGTCGGGGCAGGTCGATGCCTGCTACGGACAAGCCTACAAAGGCCTATTGAAGGAGGCCTCGGAAGCTTGTTTGGGTTTAGGGTTTAGGGTTTAGGGTTTAGGGTTTAGGGTTTAGGGTTTTAGGGACGGATTGTGGAGGGGGGGGGGGGGAGGGCTCCTATACGGCTCTTGAAAGGGACCAGTGTTGGGACCTGAAACTCCAAGCCCTCAACCCCAAACCCGCGAGCCCCCCAGCAAGCCTGGGGTTTCGGGTTGGGAGGGTTGCGGTTTGTAGGCTGAGAAAAACGGTTGGGAGTTGGGATTAGGGTTTAGGTTTAGGGTTTCAGGTTTAGGGTTTGGGGTTCTTCCTCAGGGTATAAGCTATCGAACCCCAAATCCTCAACCCTTAATCTTAGACATTATGTTGGTTGGTGGTCTCTTTAAGTAGGGTTTCTGTTTTGTAGGGGGTTCTTGTTCGGGTACCTAGTGGCTATAGAAGGGTATAAGCGCAACAGATAAAGAGGCCACCGGCCTTTATAGCCTAAACAGCTCAGAGTAGAAATGCGTGCCTGGCGCCCTCGGTGTGGTAAGGCTGTGCAGCGACGTAAATCTGAGGAAGCTTCAACCTGCACCCACTATCTCAGGGTAGTTACATGGGCCCTTAATATGGTCCCTTATTGCCTCTAAAGGGTTCTGATGTAAGGGCCCTTGAGTTGTATAGAGTATATACGGGGCATATCAGGGGTCCCCTTTTTGAGGGCCCATACACGGAAACTACCCTTAGACCATAGCCCCCGCTTAGAGAAGGCTCGACAGCATCGCTGTACTGCATGGGTGCGGCTCGCAGTGTCACAAGTAGGGGACAGCAAGAATAAATCATGCCAAGGACTTCTATGTTGAGAGCTCAGGCGCGCCGATGTGGGTTGAGACATCAGCATCATGCTCATCGCTCATCTTCGAGCAGGGCTCAGTGCTTTGTGGACCTGAGGCCGTGAGAATGCTTCGAGGGTTCGGGGTGGGTTTTCGTGGTCTGTCCTGCTAAGAGCAAACGGTGAGCACCTTGACACGCCCGCCGCGCCATGTCAAAGAGCTTCGCTGGTGTGAAACGCACCGCCTTGCATCGTGGCTGCATTTCTTCTTGTTTTTTTTTTGCTTGGGGGGGGGGGGGGGGGGGGGGGGTAGGGTTTAGGGTTTAGGGTTTAGAGGTTTAGAGGTTTAGGGTTAGGTTTAGGGTTTACGGGTTTAGGGTTTTGGGTTTAGGGTTGGGGGGCGGGGGCCGACCAAGCCCTGCGTGCAGATCTCGTAAGCCTTGTGTGTGTGTGTGTGTGAAATCCAAACCCCCAATACAAATAGTAAACCCGAACGCCTTTCTCGCTGTGATAAGTGACCCTAAACCCTAAACCCTAAACCCTAAACTGTCGTGTGCTACGACCGTCCCTGTTGTGGACGGGCGGGGGGGAAGCTTGACCCAACCGGCCACCAAGTAGTCCTGAACCCTACCTGCCCTCACACAATGTGAACCCTAAGCCTTTAAACCCTAAACTCTTAAACCCCTAAAACCCTAAACCCCAAACACCTAGCTTTTAAACCCCAAACCCTAAACTCTTAAACCCTCATCCCCAAGGGACAACAGCTGCCGTTGATAGAGCATCCTGAACCCAGATGTGTCCTGATCGCTAAGCCCCCTGCGCGCTTCCTCCCCCAAATGAGGCCTCAATGTGGTACCCTAGACCGGAAACCCTAAACCCTAAACCCTAAACCCTAAACCCTAAACCCTAAACCCTAAACCCTAAACCCTATAGGCCCCTATAAGCCAGAGAAGCCCCAGAAGCCCTCCAAGACCTCTGAGCCCTATAAGTCTATAAGTCTATAAGCCTAAGAAGCCCTATAGAAGCCCGAAAGAAGCCCACTAAGCCAGATAAGCCCTCTAAGCCCTATCAGCCCTCTCAGCCATAATATAAGCCCTACAAAGCCCTATGACAAGCCGCATTATAACAGCCCTGCAAACTTGTAGAATCCCTAGAACCCCCATAGAAGCCCCATTATCAGCCCGAGTATAAGCCCTGTTACAAGCCCTATAGAAGCCCTAGAGAAGCCCTAGAGAAGCCCTAGAGAAGCCCTAAACCCTAAACCCCAAACCCTAAACCCTAAACCCTAAACCCCAAACCCCTAAAGCCCTTCTGCGATGAGGAACTTCAAAGGTGAAGGCGAGAAGGCCAAGAAGAAGCGCCGCGACAAGAAGGCACTCGAGCCGGCCGAGGACGGGAGGGGGGGGGGGGGGGGGGGGGGGGGGGGGGGGGGGGGGGGGGGGGGGGGGTTGGGATGTTTAGGGTTTAGGGTTTAGGGTTTAGGGTTTAGGGATGTGTGAGGGGTGCGGGGGTCGAAGGCTTTTTACCTTTCATGGGTGCGGCTTGTACCATAGGTGAGGCTGCAGGGTCACCCTCAAAAGTCTTTGGGGGGGAAGTTATGGTGTGGTGCAGGGATCAGGGAAAAGCAACCTTGGCAAGCACAGCTGAACCCCAAACCCTCACCTTCTGGGTGGTTCTCTAAAAGAGGGTCCTTATCTAGTACGGCATGTTCTAGGAAAGACCCCTAAAAGGTACCCTAATTTAGGGAACTACCCTTATTAAGGGTTTAGGGACGCGGGAAGTTATCCAAGCCCTGCAAGCTTTTCACTCCCCTGAATTCCAGGGTTCTTTAGGGGTTCACGTAGGGAACCTTAGGGTAGATGAGAGAGCCTTAGGCGGTAGTGGGGAGTATTTTAAAGAACCGTGGGTTACATACCCAAAAACCCTAAACACTAAAACATATAAACCCTAAACCCTAAACCCTGAATCCACAGTGAAGGAGGTCGAAGACCTTGATGGCGGGGCCCAGGCGTCCGAGGAGAAAGATGCTCGGCTGTTCGGGTTTAGGGTGTAGGGTTTGGGGGGGTTTCGGGGTTTAGGGGTTTCGGGGTTTAGAGGTTTAGGGGTTTCGGGGTTTAGGGGTCCAGGGGTTTAGGGGTTTAGGGGTTTCGGGGTTTCGGGGTCTAGTGAGTCTAGTGTTAGCAAGCAAGGAGGAAGGTCGAAAACCCGGGGATGTCAGCAATAACGTTGCCTGAAGGTGAAAGACTTAGCGTGTTTTGGGCGTGGTCTCTGTGGGACAGGGCGCAGGGCATGGGTGGGAGACCAGATTGTGGTCTGCTTGTAGAGACTTCGGAAGCCGAGCCGAACTATGGGGGTTTGGGGTGGTCTCCCCACCCCCTGCATCCGTGATCCAGACTCTCCTGAATTTTAAAACCATCGTTCTCATCGGTTTAAGCCACACCAACATTCACTGCAACTTCTCATCACTTTATTCAACAACACAATTCTCACGAGCTCCATGCATGCATGTGTATATGCGCAAATGTATGAGTTTTCTGAAGGGTTACTCGGAGCTAGTAGCGCGGGCAGGGTGGGGGTCGTCAGGACGGCAATAGCTTGGGCGTGTTCCGACATTGAAGGTATTTTGGGCCTGACCCTAAACCCTAAACTCTAAACCCTAAACCCTATATAATCCCTAAACCCTATAAACCCTATAAACCCTCTAAACCCTCTAAACCCTCTAAACCCTCTAAACCCTCTAAACCCTACAAACCCTACAAACCCCAAACCCTAAACCGCAACCCCCCGGCCACAGACCCAGGATGTGCCAGTGCTGCCGGGATCTGGCCGTCTGGTGACCAACACCACCACCGTCCACGGCTTCGAGACGAAGTTCAAGGATGAGTTCCCTGGAGACAGAGAAGGGTTTAGGGTTTAGGGTTTAGGGTTTCGGGTTTTGGGTTTTAGGGTTTCGGGTTTAGGATGAGTTCCCTGGAGACAGAGAAGGTTTAGGGACTTAGGGTTTAAAACCCTACTACTATATTTGCTTAAGAACCCCCCCAAACGCATCATATTTTCCTTTTTGTGGGGGTTCTTAAGAAATAGTAGAGAAAAAGGGTGGCGAGGCCTAAACCTTAAACCCTAAACCCTAAACCCTAAACCTTAGGGAGTAGTGGGGAGTATTAGGGAACCTTGGGCCAATGAAGCCCCCTCCCTCACCTAAAAACCCAAACAGCCCTAAAAACCCAAAACCCTTGAGTTTTGGGATTTGGGTTTTGGGTTTTGGGTTTTTTAGGGCATTGGGGTCCCTAAACCCTTAAAACCCTAAACCCCAACAGCCCCAAACCCCGACAAAAAAAACCTAAAACCCTACTCAGGTTAGAGGTGGGGGACACCATCATGGTCCACCATCCCACTTCCTTGGAGGCAGCCCGTCTTATTTTAGGGGTTTAGGGTTTAGGGTTTAGGGTTTAGGGTTTAGGGTTTTTAGTTTTTAGGGTTTAGGGTTTAGGGTTTAGGGTGTCAGGATCGAGGTCCTTGGGGTTTTAGGGTTTGGGGTTTAGGAGGGGTGTGGGCTTCCGCCTAAACCGTAAACCCTAAAGCCTAAACTCTGGGTCCTAGTAGCCCTAAACCCTAAACCCTAAACCCCCTTCCCCCCCCCCCCCCCCCCAAAGGTGGAGTTGCGGATGGTGGTGAGCGTGCTCTCGCAGCGCAGCTGCGTGATCCACCAACCCTTCTCCAAGGATTGCAACTCCACGGCCGCTCGTTCTTGTTTTCGGGGGTTTAGGGTTTAGGGTTTAGGGTTTAGGGTTTAGGGTTTAGGGTTTAGGGTTTAGGGATAGGGATGTCGGGGAATGGGTTCAGGGTCAGGGCTTAGGATTCAGCGCCGTTCCCCCTCTTTAATGGGGCCACACGCCACGAGCCACCAAGGTTGAATACCACATCCGCAAGGACTCTCTGATGCTGGGCTGGAAATGACAGAACCCTACGCCTCAACAACCCCCCGCCCTCCCCCCCCCCCCTCCCCCCCCCCAGAACGCCTTGTCAGGAGCAGCCTGCCAACCCCCTAAAAGGTTGTGATTTAGGATATTTATCCATGGTTTTTACTCATGCCAGCTTTTCAGAATACTTCACTTTGTTTGTTGTGCTCGATTCGTCGTTGTCGAAAAGTAGAACTGTGCATTGTCCAACGCGTTTTGCCTTGTTTTTTGGGGATTTGAGCGCTTTTTTGGGGGGAGGTGTTTCTTCGATGTTGTTTCCTTTTTTTAGTGCTGCTTGAGGTGGGCTGGCTGGTGGGGCGTGCATTTTCGCATGGGCATGTTCCACACTTCCGCGCTCTGATCAACAATCCTAAGTATTCCTTAAGCCCCTGAACTTGAAATCGGAAAGTCAGGTCCAAAGCAGTCAACCAAAACCCTAAACCCTAAACCCTAAACCCTAAACCCTAAACCCTAAACCCTCAAGCCCAAAACACTGAAAACCTGAAGTTGGCGAGCTGAAATCAGCCCCAAAAATCCCTTAAAGAGTCTTTGGACAGACCTAGGCTCCAGGGCGGGCCCTTATTCCCTTGTCACCCTAAACCCTAAACCCTAAACCCTAAACCCTAAACCGCTTCGGGCTCCAAGTTCCCAAACAAGCCCCTTGACCCCAAAAAAGGGAGCTCGTGATTTTTCCTAGGTTACTCCTGGGCCTACACGAAACTCTGAAAAGTTAGAACATCCTTCTCCCCATATCCCGAAAGGTATACTAAAGGGGATCATCCCTAGGCCATGTTCCTAAACCCTAAACACTAAGTCCTAAACCCTAGGCCCTGAACCCTACAGCCGAATGGAGTCCTTCAACCCAGGAAGATCAAGGAGAAAGCCAAGTCCGAAATTCAGGAGGAGACAAGGGCTGCTTTGGGGGCTTTGGGGTTTAGGGATTAGGGTTTAGGGTTTAGGGTTTAGGGCTTAGGGTTTAGGGTTTAGGGTTTAGGGCTTAGGGCTTAGGGCTTAGGGCTTAGGGTGGTAATCTCCCAGAAGTTGGAACATCATTCTCCTCCTACCCCAAGAGGGTTCTCGTCCTTGAGCCATGCTCCAACTTCATGGACTTTACAGCACGGCTTTTCGTTTGGGGTGTCCGGGGCTGCTTTAGGGTTTAGGGTTTAGGCTTTAGGTTTTTAGGTTCCGGGGGGGTCTCTGAACTGAAGTTACAGCACGAGCAGTCCCAGGAGAACCCGGAGTTACTCCAAGACGCTGCCTCGCGTGAGCTGCAGAGGTGGCGTGGGTTTCTCTCCAAGCGGCTTCGCGTTTGTGGGGTTCGGGTTTGTAGTTTTTTTTTTTTTTTTGTTTCCTCTCTGGGGTTTTGTAAAGTTTTTTCTGAGGTTTTGCAGAGTATTGTAGGGTTTTGGTGAGGGTGTGTGGGATGCCTGAAAGCTTCGGGTTCAGGGTTTAGGGTTTGGGGTTTAGGGTTTAGGGTTTAGGGTTTAGGGTTTAGGGTTTGCACCTGCACTGATAGCCCCGATTCGTGCTTTCAATTGGCACAACCCTCAAACCTTCTGACCCGCAACCCTAATACTTAAGCCTCTAGCCAGAAACCCACACGGGAACGCCATACCGGTAGGGTCTAGGCCTTAGGGTGTAGGATTAGAGTTTATGGTTTAGGGTTTAGGGTTTGTAGAGTTCAGGGTTTGGGGGGTCGACTTCGCTGTCCCTGAGGCAGCTGGACAAGCGTCTGAAGAAGCAGTCCAAGACAGTGAGCGTCCGCGAGAAGACGGGCATGTGGGGCTACAAGGTTTGGCCCTGCACGATTCTTCAACTAGTAAGGGTTGAGGGTTTGGGGAGGGTAGGGTTGAGAGTAACCATAGGTAGACAACTAGGGCCCTTCTTCAGTTGTTTTAGGGTTTTTGGGTTGAGGGTTTAGGGTAACCCTAACTAGACGTTTAGGGCCCTTGTGCTGCTGTTTAGGCTTTTGGGTTGAGGGTCTAAAACGACCCTATGGACCCTACCTAGCCCCCCGCCCGCAACGACCTGGCATGTCTGGTAACCCCGAAGCCATGGTTTTTCTGACGAGAGCTCAGGCTTAGGGTGGGGCTTCGATGCATGTAATACAGGGGTGGGAAATACTGTTATGATCCCTATATACTATAGTCACCCCCCACAACCCCCTTTTCTAATTGCTGAGGCCCCGATATTACAGACTCGGCCTAAGTGTAATCTTTCGAACGAATGGCGCGCAACGCTGCCGACCTCGACTTCAGGTTTTTCAGCCGTACCCCCCCTCCCCCCCCCCCCCCCCCCCCCCCCCCCCCCCCCCCCCCCCCCCCCCCCCCCCCCCCGGGGGTTCCTCCCAAAAACACCGGTCACCCTATCTACCACCCCCAAAAATCAATGCGCCCCAAACCCTGAGACACTCGAAATACTACCCAAGCCATTCAAACAGGATGCTAAGCACCTTTTTTCCCTTACACCTCCCGAGCCCGCTGAAGACTAGGCACGCCCTTCAGACATTTTCAAGTTGCCCTTAGGCGGTATGAGCCGATCTTTGCTGCTGTTTACCTACCTAAACCAGAAACCTCTAACATCCCAACATCCCCCTAAGGGGCTCCAAGAAACTTTCGGCTCAGCCGTACTAGCCCTAATCTCCTCAAACCACCAAGGCTTAAGCTTGGGATGTTCCCCCTTATACTAACTGTCCTTAATCGGGATTATCGTTGGGGCTACTAGAATCCCCTATTTAGGCCTGCTGGTAGAAGGGGGAAGCTCCCAGCCCTGAACCCTAAACGCAAGTTCTTTGCTCGTGGGGTGGGTGGGGGGGGTGCATCTTAACTGCCCTACTAAAGCGGTGGAGGGACTTGGGTTGGTTTGAGCCCTTTTAGGGTTTAGGGGATTAGGGTTCAAGGTTTAGGGTTTAGGGTACCCTAAACCCTAAACCCTAAACGCTAAACCCTAAACCCTAAACCCTAAACCCTAAACCCTAAACCCTAAACCCTAAACCCTAAACCCTAAACCCTAAACCCTAAACCCTAAACCCTAAACCCTAAACCCTAAACCCTAAACCCTAAACCCTAAAACTTAAACCCTAAACCCTAAACCCTAAACCCTAAACCCTAAACCCTAAACCCTAAACCCTAAACCCTAAACCCTAAACCCTAAACCCTAAACCCTAAACCCTAAACCCTAAACCCTAAACCCTAACCCTAAACCCTAAACCCTAAACCCTAAACCCTAAACCCTAAACCCTAAACCCTAGTGTTTCTGCCTAAGATGGAAGGTGGTCACCAAGAAGCTCGACAAGGCCTCCTCCGCCGAAGACGCGCTGGACGAGCGCTGCAAGCAGGGCCGCGACAAGTGGTGCTGCGTCTGAGAGGAGCCCTTTTGCGTGCAAGGGTTTAGGGTTTAGAATTTAGGGTTTAGGGTTTAGGGTTTAGGGTTTAGGGTTTTGAGCCTTTTGTTGAGGGACTAATGGAGGGACCCTTATCAGGGACCTTAGGGGTTATTTAGGTGTTCTTTAGGGGCTACTTAGGTATAGAGGTCCCTACTTAAACCCCCTAGCCTTTTCTGGCTGGAACCCTTCTCAGAAAACAAGTACTTTTGGGGTCGGAATATTTATTTGTAGTATTCCCTTGTGGTACCTGTATAGTTGTACTCTAATACCCCCAAAACAGCACCCTAAGTTGGGGTTGCACAAATAGTTTTACCTTCGCGGATTTCTACCTCGGCCCTCTACAGTCATACCCTTGGGTTGGGGGACTGACGGAACCGTTCAAGAGAAACTGTGGGGGGGGGGGGGGGTACAAGTTTGGATCTCTTGAGGACAAGGCTTGCGAGGCCTTTGCTGCTGGTGATCTGCTTCTATAATTGGCCTGCCCTTCAGAGCTCTTGGAACTGAAGCCTCCAAACCCCCACAAAGCTTCCTCCACCCCATGTGAAACCGGAGCTTTAGAAGCCAGTATAGCCTTCAACTCTCCTCAAGAAAACTTCAGGTTCCGACCTCGTGGTGATTTAGGGTTTAGGGTTTAGGGTTTAGGGCTTAGGGCGGAGTTTGCTTCTTATGCAATCAGGTAACCCCCAAAACCTACCGCAAGTAGTGCCCTCTGTGAAAGATGCCCCAGGAGATGCTACAGAGTCGGCGGGCGAGTGCATGCAAAGTCAGCGAACACAGCGCGAAAAAAGCCTTCGTAGGTGGCAGGGTTTAGGGTTTAGGGTTTAGGGTTTAGGGTTTAGGGTTTAGGGTTTAGGGTTTAGGGTTTAGGTGCTTAAGAACCCCGAAACTTCCATACAAGGGCAATATACAGGGATCCCTATTTCATATTCTTTTGAGGTTCTTACGGGAACAGTAGACTAGTCCCGTGAAATTAAACACCCTAGAGCTGAGTGTCCCGAAAGTGACTTAGTAGCTTATGGCAGTACAAGGCTGCATCGTCGTTGATAACGGGAAGCCCACAGGAACCCTAAACCCTAAACCCCAACGCCCAACACCCAACACCCAACACCCAGACCAGGCCGGCTTGCAACCGAGCTGAGGGTTTAGGGTGTAGGGTTTAGGGACCTTGTAGGGTAGGGCTGAAAGCTTAGAGCTCGTAACCCTAGGTTTCTTTCTGAATCTTGAGCAGATGAAGATCCAGAGCTTGCTACCCTATGCCCTGATTCCTTGCAAAGCCCTGCCTTAAGAACCCGCGAGACCTTCACGTTGTGAGTTGTGAAGGTTTCTTATGAATTAGTCCCCTATATAACCCTTATCAAGCCGCAAAAATCCCCACAACCCTAAACCCTAAACCCCAAACCCCTAAATCCCTGAGTGGTGCTCGCGGTCTTCAGGACCCTCAACCCTAAACCCTAAACCCTCAACCCCAAACCCTCAACCCTAAACCCTAAACCCTCAACCCTAAACGTGCAGGCTTCCTGGGAGCCCGGCGCAGTTGCGACCGAGGCCCCGATCAGGGATCCTGGGGGCGGGGGGGGGGGGGGGGGGGTTAGGTTTTAGGGTTTAGGGTTTAGGGTTTAGGGTTTAGGGTTTAGGGTTTAGGGTTTAGGGTTCAGGGTTCAGGGTTCAGGGTTCAGGGTTCAGGGTTCAGGGTTCAGGGTTCAGGGTTCAGGGTTCAGGGTTCAGAGTTTAGGGTTCAGGGTTCAGGGTTTAGGGTTCAGGGTTCAGGGTTCAGGGTTCGGGGTTCAGGGTTTAGGATTTAGGGTTGAGGGTGAGGGGGTTCAAAACTGAGTTGCGGGTTCTGTGGGTTTGTGTTGACAGGCTTAGGAACCCGAAGGCCTAAGCTTGTCGAAGCCCTTAACCCAGACACGAGGAGTTGGAGGCTTTGGAGGCTCAGGAGTTTACATAGGTCTTGTGTTGACCAAGCGGGGGGGGGCAGAGTAGTCTGTACAAAATAGACAGGTGGCTGGACTCTACGTACCGAGACTTGAGGAGTATAGCACGCCTTAATGACCTATGAAGCTCCTAATTACACCTCGTAGCCCAGTGGTACGCTTTACCTTTTTGTTGGTTCTGGGTTCCCTTAGAAAGTAACCAACCAACAAAAAAAGGGTACCCTAATTAAAATATGGCTGCTGGGGTACCATGAAAAGAGAATGGGTATCTATAATGACAACCCTAAACCACTGAACCCTGAACCCTAAACCACTCAACCCGAAACTTTAAACCCTACATCCCAAACCCTAAACCCTAAACCCTAAACCCTAAACCCTAAACCCTAAACCCTAAACCCTAAACCCTGAACCCTAAGGTTTCTGTTCCACATGCCCAGGTGGAGTCCGGCGCAGCCCCGTCTGTCGCCCAGATGTGTCCATGGAGGGATGAAACCCAGGGAAGTTAGGGTTTAGGATTTAGGGTTTAGGGTTTAGGATTTGGGGTTTAGGATTTGGGGTTTAGGGCCTAGGGCCTCAGCCCCAGAAACCCCTAAACCACCCCCAGCGCACCCTTAGCCCGAAACCCTAAACCCGAAACTCTAAACCCTAAACCCTAAACCCTAAACCCTAAACCCTAAACCCTAAACCCTAAACCCTAAACCCTAAACCCGAACAGTTTGAATCATGAAGCCTTGGTTCATGAGGATGGTCCTGAGCAAAGTGTTGGAATTGGGCGCCGCTTCCCAACTTCAACGAACCCACCCCCACCCCCCAAGAAGTCTGGACATTTCTCATCGTAGGAAGTGGGGTTCAGGCTTCCTTCTGAAAATCCTTCTGGGGACTCCAAGAGAAGGTCACCTGCGTTTTGCTTTTTTGGGAGAATCTTCTTCTGGAACCACGAACCCCCCGAAACCCAAAGGCATCTGTAGCAGAAGGGCAACTCAGGTTCAGTGATGCTGATTCTCAATTTGCTACATGAGCTCAGGGCCTACCCAAAACCTAAACCCCTAAACCCTAAACCCAACATGCAGGCAGCATCTCCTTGCATTGCATAATCAGCATGTTGCAAGTGCCGGACGTGTTTCCGGATTGGCCTTATGTCCGTGACAGTTGATGTGAGCCTGCTAAGCGGGCGGGCAGTTGCGCTTGAGGCCCCAGAACCTCTTCTGGAGACTTTGGATGGATCAGTTACAATCCAAAAAAGCGAGGCTGCAAAAGGGCGATGCCTTGATCTTGCAGGTGCGAGGGCCTCGGCTGTCAAGCGATTTCAGCGCTTTTGCTGCCGTCCTGGGTGATGGATCTGTGGCCACATGGGGCGATCCGGACTGTGCTGTCAGCAGTTCTGTGCAAGGTCAGCTCAAGAACGTGCAGCAAGTCCAGGCCAACGGTTGTGCTTGTGCCGCCATCCCGATGGATCCGTGGTGACATGGGGCGACCCGGAAGGTGGTGGCGACAGCAGTGCCGTGCAAGATGAGCTCAAGACTGTGCAGCACATTAAGGCTTCCATAGCAGCCCCGCTTTTGCTGCCATCCTTGGCGATGGATCTGTGGTCACATGGGGCGTCCCTCAAAATGGTGGCGACAGCAGTGCTGTGCGAGATCAGCTCAAGAACGTGCAGCAAATCCAGGCCAGCGGCTTTGCGTTTGCTGCCGTCCTGGGTGACGGGTCTGTGGTTACATGGGGCGATCCGGTCCATGGTGGTGACAGCAGTTCTGTACGAGATTGGCTGATCTGATGTGGCTCTCCCTTCTCGCCTTTAAAGTTTGCAGCTTGATTCTCGCTGGAGACAGTTTGGCCATTGTGTGGTATGGTAAGCAGCGGTAAGCATCACCAGCATGCAATCCTGAGTGTTCACGCTCTCCAGGACGTGCCGCAAACAGGGTCGAATCGACTGCACACGAGTCTTGTCTAGCCCTGTCGTTGCTGGCTTCTTACAGGTCCGCACATCAAGACACGCGAATAGCGTCCGAAGTTAGAGCTACCTGGCGCGTTCAGAACCTCGAAGAGAAAATCGTCTGAGCTAGTTTTACAGTACTACTGCTATAGCAGTATAGTACTCTTGTACTGTAGTATTATGGTACGAAAGCATTGCAGTCTTGTAGTGTTATAGCGTTATATTCGTTTATTGTAGCAGAGTATGAGAGCATCGTTGTATTTTTATTTCTAGTTGTCAGAACCGGTTTCCTTGCAGCCTGAACAACCCCTTGTATAATCCAAGCCCCCTGCCTGGAGCAGCATGTTTCTGAGGCGGCCGGCGCGCCAGGCACGGGTGCCAGGGTTTCGGGTCGAGGGTCCCTAAACCCTAAACCCTAAACCCTAAACCCTAAACCCTAAACCCTAAACCCTAAACCCTTTGGGGCCGAGGGTGTTGTCAGTCAAAGTCGGCTCGGGGGTTCGTCTTCTTCGCGGGTGACATTGAGAAAGTGTTTCGGATTCCGCAATTTCTGCGGCAGGGGAGTTCTTCTTCGCGAGTTCTCCAGTATATGGGGGTTTCCGAAAATAGGGGTACCCTTTTTGGGGGCTCCTTAAAAAGGATTATACAGTATTTTGGGGGTATATAAGGGGTACCCCTATTGTCGGTAGTCCCCACATAGGGAACTGGGTACTTCATCTCGCACTAGCTAACCCTCTCAGGGATTTGTCACACTCCCATTTAGGGTTCAGGGTTTAGGGTTTAGGGTTTAGGGTTTAGGGTTTAGGGTTTAGGGTTTAGGGTCTAGAGTTTAGGGCTATAGGGTTTAGCAACGCTGGAACCCATGTAACATTTGGGGGTCTATAGGGTTTCGGGCTTTGAGTTTGGGGTTTAGGGGTTGCGGGTGCGCCCAACTCCGAAAGCCCCGAACAACGAACCCTAAACCCTAAACCCGAAACCCGAAACCCGAAACCCGAAACCCTAAACCCTAAACCCTAAACCCTAAACCCTAAACCCTAAACCCTAAACCCTAAACCCTAAACCCTAAACCCTAAAAACCTAAACCCTAAACCCTAAACCCTAAACCCTAAACCCTAAACCCTAAACCCTAAACCCTAAACCCTAAACCCTAAACCCTAAACCCTAAACCCTAAACCCTAAACCCTAAACCCTAAACCCAGCCATCCCCCGGAGATGTGAAGCTCTAGAACCTGAGCCTGAGAAGCCAGAAGCCAGCAAGCGCCCCAGGACTCTACGCCTTACAGAGCTAACCCTAAACCCTAAACCCTATACCCTAAACCCCAAGTCCTAAACCCATCTGTGCCAGACTGAACCACCCTAAACCCCAGCAACCGTAGACTCTGAGACTTAAACCCTAAACCCTAAACCCTAAATCCTAAACTTTTGAGCAGCCACAAGGACGTGCTGTGTTGTCCCGTGATGTCGGAACAGCGTCTCTCAGTGTAAGATCGGCATGAGGAGAGTTTAGGGTTTAGGGTTTAGGGTTTGGGGTGTGGGGTGTGGGGCGTGGGGTGTAGGGTTTGGGGCCTAACCCTAAGCCTTTAGGGATATGAGTTACTCGGATTCACGTTTGGAGGTTTGTAGGGTTTAGGGCCGTTTAGGGTAGGGCGGTTGATGGGGACTTACAGGGTATGGGGTTTAGGGTTTAGGGTTTAGGGTTGAGGGTTTAAGGTAGGGATTTTAGAGGTTATGGGGCTCCGGGGCATCAGGGCATCAGGAGTTAACGTCGCGAATTGCTTGCGGGCAGTCCGTATGAGACGAATCGAGTCGCCAAAAAGCCCTAAACCCGAAGCCCTTCCTCAGGGATCTTTAGGGGTGTCCATCATCCCCGGCCGAGGTTCAGAGTTTAGGGTTTGGTGCCTAGGCTTTAGGGTTTAGGGTTTAGGGTCTATGGTTTAGGGTTTAGGGTTTGCGGTCGAATGCATGTCGGCTATGATGTGCGAGGTGCTGTGTATGCGTAGAGTAGAGCTCACCATGTGGACTGGGTTTTGCATTCGCAGGAGGTCACACAAGCTTAAGTTGCAAGACCCACAAAAGCTCCACACCCTGGCTCAGCAACCCTCAGCCCGAATCCTTTGCTGCAGTTCGAAGCTCTGTGAGATTGTCTCATGCGGACTGCGTACACCCTCTTCAGTGTTACGATCGTCTGCGAAGCAGATGGGATGATGCTGGACGGAAAAGCACGCGGGACCTTATTGGAGTGCACCTGAGGCAAATTCCGCGCACAAGCCTCAAACGATGTTGAACTGAGGGTCCTTGAGTCTGTGAGTTATTTTTGGAAATGGTAAGTCGTGTGGCTTACGCCCTTGAACCAAAGAGGTTTCGGGTGCAGTAGTCTGGGTTGCAGAAGCGCGTAGAATGAAGGGTTTGTGCATCGAACGGAACGGAAGCTATGACATTTGCAATGTTGTTCGATCCTTGGGTTGGCTCGAGGGGCCTGCAAAAGTTATAGGGTTGGTGGACAGGACCCTAAACCCTCAACCCTCAACCCTCAACCCTAAACCCTAAACCCTGAACCCTGAACCCTGAACCCTGAACCCTGAACCCTGAACCCAAACCCTAAACGCTAAACGCTCCCTCGAAACACAGTGGAACCATTGCTGAGGAATACGCCAGAGCACGGCCGCCCATGGCAGCCGAGGGAGGCCTGATCTTGACTTGCTTTCTCCATGGCGCAGGAACCCTAAACCCTAAACCCTAAACCCTAAACCCTAAACCCTCCTAAACCCTAAACCCTCGAACTCCCTGAAACTTAATGCCGGACCTCAAATCTCCCAAAAGCCCCTAAACCCCTAAGCACCTAAGCCTCGAAACCCCGAAACCCTAAACCCCTGAACCCCTAAACCCCTGAACCCCTAAACCCATAACTCCCTAAGCCCCTAAACCTTCAAACTCGAAACCCTGAGCCCCAAAGCCCTCCATAAACCCTAGACAAAGCCCTTAAGCCCTATTGTTCTGTGTATCTTTCCTCAGAAGCCCTAAACACTCTTTTCAGTATATTTATAGTCTTCGTGGGCCATGGTCATTTCTTCGTGGGCAATGTTCATTTTTCGTGGGCAATGGTCATTTTTCGTGGGCAATGGTCATTTTTCGTGGGTAATGGTCATTTTTCTTGGGCAATGGTCATTTTTCGTGGGCAATGGTCACCGGGAAATGGTCACGGGCCTTGGGCTTTAGGATTTAGGGGCTACTGGGGCTTGGGCCGGATGTGGTGGATTTCCTTGGGCGGGTGGGTGTTGGTCGAGAGAACGGCTGGACCAGACTCTTCACCGCTCAGAGCTGCTGAACCCTAAACCCTAAACCCTCAACCCTAAACCCTAAACCCTAAACCCTAAACCCTAAACCCTAAACCCTAAACCCTACACCGAACCCTATTGTTCTGTGTATCTTTCGAGGTCCGGGAGCCCACAACCCATCATCTGCCCTTTTCCGCGCAGGAAGCCCGCGGGTTTGGGCTCATGGACATCAACAAAGAGGCCGAGGGCTTGTTCAGGGTTTAGGGTTTAGGGTATAGGGTTTAGGGTTTAGGGTTTAGGGTTTAGGGTTTAGGGTGTAGGGTTTAGGGTTTAGGGTTTAGGGTTTAGGGTTTAGGGTTTAGGGTTTAGGGTTTAGGGTTTAGGGTTTAGGGTTTAGGGTTTAGGGTTTAGGGTTGGGGGGGGTTCAGGGGTAAGTTTAGGTTCAGGACGAATCCCTTGCTAGGGCGGGCAGTGCATGTCTCGAAAAAAAAGGAGTGCAGCGCGTCTACTTCCACGCCTTCAACAGCCAAGAGCCCTACACCTCTTGATTTGTCAAATTGTCAAAGTGACCCTGGCATTGAGAAAAGAATGCTCTCGAGCTCAAGAGATCACTAGTATTTAGTTCTGATACGTTTCTCTCGAAAGGCCATACCGTCGTATAACTGCTTAGCTGTACTTGGGCCAACAAGAAACCGAGCAAAATCGGTTCTCTCCACTCGCATGTCGGACAGCCGGGCGCACGGGTTTCTGTGTCTCGCGTTTGGCCCTGCGCAGTCTTACGCGGTCGTTCCCCGCAGCGACAGCTTCACCAGCTTTTGGCAAGGCGAACTTGCTGGCTGGATTTTTGAAGGAGGGCGCTCAGTCGAGTACGTGGCTTTTTCAGGCATCGATGGGTACTACGTGCGATATGAAGACGGAAGCTCAGCATGGAGTCTCCACCCCGGCTTGGGAAAGCTGATCAAAAAAGAAGGTGTGAAGTGGATTGTATTCGGACCTGACAGCTATGTCTTTCTATCCAAGAGTGGAGTGCTGCACTGGTGGAACGTACCAGACGCGTTGGAGGAGCGGCTGGAGTCCTTGTCGTCATCAGATCATCTTGTATCGGTGGGGTTGGGGCAGAGCAGCCCTTACGTCGCAATCTTTCAAACCGATTACATCTGGGGCGGCAACGTGCCTGATTCCCTAGTGCAAATTCTGCACAGCCGGAAGATTTCGGGGTCCAAGTCAAAGGTTGAAACCCTAAACCCTAAACCCTAAACCCTAAACCCTAAACCATTTGATGGAGTGTGGCTGTCAGCATATGATGACCGCTTCTGCCTTCAGTACAACACCAGTGCAGCTTACTGGACCAGCGGCCTCAACTCATATTTTGACACCATGGTGCAGTGTGACGAAATGCTTAGTCCACTTGGTATTTTCTACACACATGATTCTATCTCCGCGAACTTCACAGACGGGAGATCCATCTATGATGCCGCGAGGGATTTGAACAATGGCAACATGGCAATAACCGATATGCCAATGATGGAAGTATTCAAGCATGCAGGCTGCTACTTCAGCAGAAGCAATCGACGACTCTGGGCGTTCCGAAACCCTGGAGTAACACAAGCTCCGGTACGCATAGTGGAACCGCCGTCGGATGTCAGTAACCTCACCAAGCTGAAAGAGATCTACGTCCGCTACAAGAACCAGTGATGAGACGCATTGTCAGGTCATAGCAGATGGCTGTCAGCATGCATACTTGTGACACTTTGGCGTGTTTGGGCAAACGTGCGGACTGTGCAGTAGGCACCGGGGTTCTGAACTCTTTGACGAACCTACGTAGGTGTGAAGACACTTTGAACTGCCGTGTGCATCCTAATAATATTTCTGAACATGTTTAGGAACAGTAGTGAAATAGTATAGTAACATGTAGACGCGACCAGTACTATGCGGTTTCGGAATCCTACCTTGAAGCTCTAAAGTAAACCCTAAACCCCTAAGCCCTAAGCCCCAAACCCCAACACATGATCCTCCGTCACAGGTGCAGCGAATCCGGGCTGCCGTCCGCCGATTGCCCAGCTGTGCAGAGCATTGCCGTGGGGTTTAGGGTTTAGGGTTTAGGGTTTATAGTTTATGGTTTATAGTTCGTAGTTTGTTTTTTATAGTTCATAGTTTAGGGTGTTACGTCGCCCATCCGCGTACCCGTTTCCTCAAGGCAGGTGCTCTCGTAAGTGCAATGGGCGCTTCCGGGGTCTAGGATTTAGGGCTTCCTCAGCATGCCATTGAGCTGGCAGAACGTTCCTGATGAGATTTAGAGGATCTTGCTTAGGGGACACCTTTCAGAGGGCTTTAAAAGGCCAACCTACTTCCGTGATCTTTAGACTCGACCATTGTGCCGCGGCCTTCGACCCCCCAAGCAGTAAGGCCACGTTGCTTGCTTGTCAAGAGCATTTCCCCCCTCCCCCCCCCGCAAGAACGCCCCCAGGCCGCCTAAATCCCGCAACCCTTAACTCCCCAACCCTGAAACCCTGAGCCTGAACCTTTAACTAAACCCCCAAACTGCCCCTAAACCCTAAACCCTAAATCCTAAATCCTTCCACCCTCAAAATCCTCAATGCCAAGCGCTGGGCTGCCCCCGAGGCTCTGGCAAAGACTTCCTGGAAGTCAAGCCCAGACCTCGGTTTAGGGTTTAGGTGTAGGGTTTAGGGTTTAGGGTTTAGGGTTTAGGGTTTAGGGTTTAGGGTTTAGGGTTTAGGGTTTAGGTTTTTTGTTTCTTGAGAAGCCAAGCCGAGGGAGCTTTGAACATGCTGCTGTTTGATGATGGTGCGAAGGGAGTCTGGAGAGTTCAGGCCCCCCCCGAACCCTAAACCCTAAACCCTAAACCCTAAACCCTAAACCCTAAACCCTAAACCCTAAACCCTAAACCCTAAACCCTAAACCCTAAACCCTAAACCCCTAAACCCTAAACCCTAAACCCTAAACCAGGCTGTTAAAGGTGGTCAAGTTTAGGGTTTGGGGTTTAGGGTTTGGGGTTTCGGGTTTCGGGTTTAGGGTTTATAAGGTTTGCGGTTCAGGGTTTAGGGTTTAGTGTTTAGAGTTGAGGGTTGAGGGTTTCGGGGTAGATGGCTGGGCGTACTGGAGGTTCAGGGTGGACCGAAGCCGCGGGGATGGAGCGGGTAAAGCCCTAAACCCCCGAAAAGCCTCTAAACCCCCGACAAACCCTACAATCTCGGCATATCCACCACATTGAACCCTGGAACCCCCTGAATTTCCCTGCAACCCCTGTAAATCCGATCACCCCCTAAACATCCCTACCCAAGCCCTATAAGCCCCAGAATCCCTGGTACAACAAGAAAACAGAAGGGCCGACATGGTCGGGGTCATCAAGCACGCCTTCCCGGAGGATGACGCGCCCGGGTGCTGAGACAGAACCGGGTTTCGGGCTTGCAGGGCTCCAGCCTTCGGATATTTCAGGGCTTTTTGGGGGCGGTTTCGCGCTTTTGGGTTGAGGGGTTTTGGGCTTGACCTAAACCCTAAACCCTAAACCCTAAACCCTAAACCCTAAACCCTAAACCCTAAACCCTGAACCCTAAACCCTAAACCCCCAAAAGTTGTAAGCCCCCTGTGCTGCAAGGCTTGTGGCCCAGCTACAGAATGCCGCAGATGGTTTCGAGGCTTGCGGAGTGCAGAGCTACAAAGTACGGGGTTAGGGTTTAGGGTTTAGGGTTTAGGGTTTAGGGTTTAGGGTTTAGGGTTTAGGGTGCGCGCGCTCAAAAGCATGTCCACCAGCAGATTTGCTGGCCAGGCCCACCCTGAACCCCTCGCCACAAGGTGTGCTGAAACCGGCCATTCGTCCAACGCGAGCCCCCGCAGCCCGAAGAGGGTTAAGGGTTTAGGGTTTAGGGTTTAGGGTTACAGGGTTTAGGCTTTAGGGTGTAGGGTTTAGGGTTTAGGGTTTAGGGTGGCCACTAGCACGGATCCACCAATTCCCCGAGCTCCAGGTGGCATTTCCCTGGTTAGGCAAGAGCCATGTTGATCCAGCACCACAAGCCCGCATCAAACCTGCAATGCCCTAATTGACTACCTGGGTTTAGGGTTTAGGGTTTAGGGTTTAGGGAGTACTATACTTTAATACGGTTTTGGTTATGGGTTCCTCTGTTTGCTGCTCATACCTAAAAAGTATATACTTTTTTCCAGGGTCTACTCCAAAGTAGGGTGTTGGGGCCTTAACAATTAGAACAGGGTTCTGGGGGTTATTATAATTTTAGTACATTTTTTTAGGACCAGAAGGGAATACTACTAGTAATTTTTCCTACCCCTATATTCAGCCCTTCGTTCGGAGGTTAAGAGGACGCGCGCACGTGATAAGACCAAAGCAAGCTTCTTGTAGGCAGAAATGCAAAACAATCAAACAACGCAGAGCACACATGCAGGGCACCCACAGTGTCGAACCCTAACCCTCAACCGATCCTAAACCGCAACCACCTTAACCCGCAAACCCTAAAGCCTAAAGCCGAAAGCCCTAACCCCAAACCCGGTGGAACTGGCAGCCCTAACGTCGGTCTCTTAGGGGCAGAGGACCTGTGAGGTTCAGGACATGTTCTCCTGCTAGGGTTTAGGGTTTAGGCTTTAGGCTTTAGGGTTTAGGCTTTAGGCTTCAGGCTTTAGGCTTTAGGCTTTAGGCTTTAGGGCCTAGGGTTTAGGGTTTAGGTGCATTCGAGCCTAGGGTTTAGGATGTAGGGTTTAGGGTTGGAGAGGTAGCGCCTTCTTTGTTTTGGCGAGCCTTAGCTGATCCACCTGCCGTCGCTGGCTTCCACTGCACTTCGAACACGCACACGCGCGCCACACGCACAAGAGACGGAACAACAACACACACCCCAAGGCTGAATGCCCTGAACCCTAAACCCTAAACCCTAAACCCTAAACCCCAAACCCCAAACCCCAAACCCCAAACCCCAAACCCCAAACCCCAAACCCCAAACCCCAAACCCCAAACCCTAAACCCTAAACCCTAAACCCTAAACCCTAAACCATCCATAGATCGTCTGTTACGAGCACTCAACTTCAAGCCCAGAGACAGCCGGGTCAGGTGCTCGACCGCCTCGATCAGGCGCTTCCTTCGGATGTGGACTCAGGGCTTTACGGTTTGAGGCTTTACCCGGCTTAGCGGGGTTTAGGGTTTAGGGTTTAGGGTTTAGGGTTTAGGGCTTAGGGCTTAGGGCTTAGGGCTTAGGGTTTAGGGCTCAGGGTTTAGGGTTTAGGCCTTTTTTGGGTTTAGGCTGTCGGGTGGGGGTGGCTTGGCGGTGGCAGGCTCCGGAGGCCAAAAAGGGCCGTCGGGGGATGCCGAGCTGCTCTGTGGGGCTTTTGGGAGTGCGAGATGAAGGGTTTAGGGTTTAGGGTTTAGGGTTTAGGGTTTAGGGTTTAGGGTTTAGGGTTTAGGGTTTAGGGTTTAGGGTTTAGGGTTTAGGGTGTTTAGGGTTTAGGGTTTAGGGTTTTGGAGTACTGTACTTTAATACTTTTTTTGGTTCTGGGTTCCTATTAGAGCTACTTATACCTAAAAAGTATATACTTTTTTCCAGGGTCTACTCCAAAGGTAGGACTACTAATTGCTTAAGAACCCCCGAAAAAGTAAAGATACGCTTCCTTATTAAGGGGGGAATAGAGATTTTGATTTTTTCTTTTGGGGTTCTTAGGCAAATAGTAGATCATGGTACTTCGAATCATTCTACATCGCTCCATGCCAGCTTGCGGCCCAAGTTAAGCTACATCCGACTTTGGCCGCCATTTAAACTTCCACTTCAGCAACCACCTGTACCTCCGGCTTCCTAACCCTAAACCCTAAAGCCCAAGCCCTAAGCCCTAAAGCCTAAAACCCTAAACCCTAAACCCTAAACCCTAAACCCTAAACCCTAGCCCTAAACCCTAAACCCTAAACCCTAAACCCTAAACAAGCTGTGAGGCGCCATTCGGTGCATTGTCCGAGCTCGGGCTGCCAGGCCGGCCAAGTAGACTTGTGAAGCAGTTAGGGTTTAGGGTTTAGGGTTTAGGGTTTAGGGTTTAGGGTTTAGGGTTTAGGGTTTAGGGCTTGAAGGTGATTTGGGGGGGTTTCCGAAAATGGGGGGTGGGGGGAGGGGGGGGGGGGGGGGGACTCGATCCTATTTGGGGTATAAGATGGGGTGCCCCTACTTTGGGAAATGCACCGTAAATTCTGCATTGAAAATCAAATCAGGAGAAGGCCAAAATGTCCCCAAAATGCCCTGAGCCCCGAACTTTTAGAACCCTAAACAACCCTGCCCCCCAAATGGGATTTCCGAAATGGAAATTCCGAAATGGAAATTCCGAAATGGGAGTTCCGAAATGGGAATTCCAAAATGGAAATTCTGAAATGGAAATTCCGAAATGGGATTTTGGAAATCGGAATTTCTTGAAAATGGGATTTCTGAAATGGAATTTGGATTTCCAAAAATGGATCCTGAGCCCTGTGTTCTAAAATGGAACTTCCCGGACTGAAATTCTTCCGAAATGAATTCAAAATGGATTTCCAATGGAATTTTGGAATTCCAAACTGGCCTGGAAAGTCCGGATTTGAAAACAGATCTGTTTCATCTGCAAACATTTTTGTTTCAAATGTGGAGATTTTCACTTGAACAAAACTGTTTGGCAAGCATGTTTTTTTCTGTGCTGAATTTCTGCTCACAAAGATTCTCGAGAGC